CAACACACAAAGGCTGCGTCGTCACCGGGGAACAAAAACCTTGCTCAGAGATTCTCTCCAACTGACCCGCCCAGCCAAAAAAGTGACCTTGGACGCGTCCCTCCCCTCTTTGAACCTCAGTTTCCCTTCCTAGTTTGCAAAAGAGATCTATCCGGCCAGGCCGCGGATGGGCGAGGCGCCCCAGAGAAAACACTTCCCTATTTCCGACGCGAGCGCCGGTGCGGGCTCCGATAACCGCGCGCTCTCGGGGGGTCGAGTAGGCTAAGTGGGCCCGACTCAGAGAGGAGCGGTCCCGGGCTGCCAAAACGAGCCGCGACTGGCGGGCACCAACTCGGCTGCAGGTCGAGAAGCCGCCCGCGCCCCCACCTTGCTGACTTGCCGCCTCCCTCCATCCCGTGAAGCCTGGTCTTACTTAAGGTTGATGAGGTCAGGCAGACGCCACAGCCTATGCGCTCCAACAAGGACGTACCTCCTCCGCCAGCCGCTGAGACGACCCGCTCAAGCAGGACTCCACCGCCTCACCGAGACCCACTTCCGCTCGGCCGGCCCTGGCCCGCCCTTCGCAGTCCCCATTGGCCTTCGCCGCCCTTATTCCCGAGCTCTGCCGGTTTAGGAGGTTTATTTGTAATTCTATTGGGTGAGAGAACTATCTATTACCGCTTTGAAATGAACCTTCTTCCGGCCACGCCCCCGCTTGCGTGACCGAGTTTCCACGTCTCGCGAGAGCTACGCGGGGAGCACTCCTCCCGCGAGAACTTGGCGGAGTCGTAGCTGGGGCGCTGTGAGAGCTTGCTTACTCGCTCGCTGCTTGTGACCAACCCTTGGCTTCTGACCTGGTTTACCAGCGGCCTTATGGCCGCGGCTAACACGAAACCGTAATCCCCACCCGTCATTCCACGCCCGTCTCAGGCTCCTCGGTCGTTGATGAGACCTACGGGAGACTGGCCCAAGGTCCCAATTTTCTGGTGATCCACAGGCAACCTCGCCGGCATCCGCACCCCAAACAAATACCGGGCTCTGAGTGGGCGTGTCGGCCCCCGGACTCTTCACTCGGGTCCCATCGGGAGTCCCGGAGGCTCAACCTGGATGTGTGGGAGGCCCACCTGTAGGAGGCTTGGGGACTAGACGGGAAGAGAACGTCCAGCTTGACATTTTGTGTGCCAAAACCGCGGCGCGGGGGTGCGTGCATGCCCAGGAAACTGCAGGCTACCTGCCCAATGTGTCAGGAGCAGAGGCGAGGGGTGAGGAAGGCGAAACTCAGGAAGGAACACAGAATGGCCTGAGAAGAACCCGCCTTGGAAAAACTGCCAGAGCCTGGAAATTTGGGGTCTTAGGACATGTCACGTTACAGGGTCCCTCCTACATAATAATGAAAACCAGCAGCATGATTTTAGGCAAGTCTCAGCACGTTCACAGGTGTTACAGGGGATCCATTCTACGTACTTATGAGAAAGAAAGTGAGGCTTACCAGACAGTACAAGCGCATGCTAGACCCTGCTGGAGTGCAGCGAAACAATGGTACTATAAAAACATTGCTGTTTTTCTTAAGCACCTGTCCTTGAGCCAAGGTGTAGCACTCACTCACTGGTTTAGCAACTAGAAAATGATCGATTGATAAATAGCAACTAGAAAACATGGATGGTGACTCTCAGGCTCTAAGAAGATTGCCGTAAATGTGGTTGAATTGCTTCTGTAGGGTGCATTCAACCTGGAAGGTTAATTCACATAGAATGACAGCAGGTAAAAACCCAATGTTAATGTTTGCACTATTACAATCTTATTTTATGGAATTATAAGAGAATTTATGATAAAGTATGTCTGATAGACACACATCTGACTCCAGTGTAAAATTTGTGTTTGGATGTTTTGAGTATATTTTTCAAATGTTATAATTGGAATAGAGAAAATGTACAAGTTTTAAGAGAAATGTTGACATTCTTATGAAAATATTTTGAATATTTAATAAGGCATGTGAGACCAGAACAGGAACAATACACCTTGCAAGATAATGGGAGACCAAAATAGGAAAAATACCTATCAAGTTAATAGGACATTCTACATGTAGAATGTAATTCAAAGTGTCTAAGGAAATTTCAACTTATAAGCAGGACCATGTATGTCTAATCAAAATCCTAGTTAAAGCGACCAAATTTACAAATATAATAAAATTATCAATTTGCCCTCCTAGCCTAAGAAAAAGGATTTTTTTTCTTGTTTTTTCGAGCCAGGTTTTCTCTGTGTAGCTTTGGAGCCTGTCCTGGAACTCGATCTGTAGACCAGGCTTGCCTAGAACTCACAGAGATCCTCCTGCCTCTGCCCCTGCCCCTGAGTGCTGGGACTAAAGGCGTGTGCCATCACCGCCCGGCTTTATTTTACTTTTTTGAGGCAGGGTCTCACTATGTTGTCTGTAACTCAATTTGTAGAGCATGATGGCCTTACACTTTACAGAGATCTGCTTGCCTTTGCCTCCAAGTTCTGGGATTAAAGGTGTGTGCCACATTACCTGGCTTTATTTTTTTTAAGTTTTATCACATTTATTTATTGTGTATATGTGCATGTACCACAGATTACATGTAGCAGTCAGAGGACAACTTGTGTGAGCCAGTTCTCTCACCATGTGAAAGGACCCCAAGGATGGCCCTCAAGTCACCAGGCTGAGTGGCAGGCACCTTTACCTCAACTCACCTCCCAGCCTCTTGTTTGGTTTTGAGACAGAATCTCTATAGTTCAGCTGACATGAAACTCACTATATAGCCCAGGGTGGATTAAAACTTTCCTACCCAAAGGCTGGGTAGCTTTAATCCCAGCAGCACTTGAGAGGCAGAGGCAGGCACATCTCTGTGAGTTTGAGGTCATCCTGGTCTACAAGAGCTAGTTCCAGGACACTAGAGAAACCCTGTGAGAGAGAGAGAGAGAGAGAGGGAGGGAGGGAGGGAGGGAGGGAGGGAGGGAGGGAGGGAGGGAGGGGGAGAGGGAGAGGGAGGGGGAGAGGGAGGGAGGGAGACTCTGGCTGTCCCTATTGTTGCAATCTATTAGTTGCAGAATGATCTAGGATGGCCTCAGGGCTGGAGAGATGGCTCAGCCGTTAAAGGCTAGGCTCACAACCAAAACTATAGAATGGCCTGTCAGGGACAACTAGCACTCCTCTTCATGGAGTCATCTCAGCAGGCCACATTGATCACGTTCAAAGAGAACAGACAGGACCTCAAGGCCACTTGATGACTGACTCTAAACTGGCCCACTGCCACTTCTGTATGGTACGGGGCCAGAGATGGTTCAGAGGCTGAGGGGATAAACTGAAGGAACTCTGGCCAGCGTGCATCTGGTGAGCATGGCTCTAGCATGCCTTGCCTTTCTCTCCCATTCCATCTGCCTTGCTAAAAGCCATTAGATTACATCCTTAAAGTGAGCCATCAAGGTCCATTCCCTTAATTGGCTATTTCCTCTTCCTGAGGCCAACTACCAAGGTCCAGCTATCAAAGTATTGAAGTCCAGCAATCAAAAGCCCTGTTTGGCTCACCTAATTAACATGCCTAATTAAAATTAAACACCTCATCCTAATTGTTTCCTCTTGTACCTTTTATAAACTGCCATTTTCCTATGGGCCACATTTGTCCACCCCCTCGGATGAATGCGCCTGACCTCTTTCCCTTGTTCACACCCCCTTCTCCCTCATGCTCTACCTCCTGCCTTTGTCTCTTGTCCCCTGCCCTTGCTGAGAACTTGGTCTTGGGTGTCCTGAGCAGATACTTTCCCTTTCATAAACTGTTTTTGGTTTCTCTTAGTCGGGGTGTATATGTCAGGAGAGATTACACATGCTGTGAGCATGTGTAGACAATCATAGGATAACTTTTTGGAGTTGTTTCTCTACTTCCACCTTTTCCCACACATATTCCAGAGATAAATCTCAGGTTGCCAGGGTTGCACAGCAAGCACGTTAACCCCCTGAGCTATCTTGCTTTGCTCTTCTTCTTCTTCTTCTTCTTCTTCTTCTTCTTCTTCTTCTTCTTCTTCTTCTTCTTCTTCTTCTTCTTCTTCTTCCTTTTTTGGTTTTCTGAGACAGGGTTCCTCTATGGCTTTGGAGGCTGTCCTGGAACTCACTCTATAGACCAGGCTAGACTGGAACTCACAGAGATCCACCTGCCTCTGCCTCCTGAGTGCTGGGATTAAAGGCGTGCGCCACCACCGCCCAGCTGCTCTCTGCTTCTTTAAATGCAGATATTGCTGTGTTGACAGATTGGCCTATTACATTGCCCATGCTGATCTCAACTCTTCATCTTGTTTCCTGCTTCTATCTCCAAAGTGCTGAGATTACCAGGCCTACCAAGACCAGAGATATAAAGCTTGGAGGCAATGGATATTGATATAGGCTAACATTTGGTCATATTTTTACCACACACAGCATCCACTTGCCACAATATTAAGAAATACTCTCAATCCTGCTCAATGGCTCAGGCTTATGGAGCAAACACCCAGGTGCTCCTGAGTTGTCTCTGAGCAGCTACTCAGTCCAGGACAAGGAAGAGGTACCACACTCATCCAACCAGCACTGTTGCCGGTAGCAGCCAGTTTGTTGGACTGTCCAGAAGCTAGCCTAAAGTGAAAGATAATCACTACAGCCTTGTCACAGTGTTCCCTTCAGTCACCATGCACACTTGCTTCCCTGCAGGAGCCAGGTTCAATCTACAGCAGTGGCAATGGACATCTCCCTGTTGTCAAGACTGGAGCTGGTAAGCACCCTGGAGTCAGAGCACCCATGTCCAGCACCCTGCCTTTGGCTGGCTTCAAATCACTAACATAGTCCCTCCATTTTTTTTTCAAGACAGGGTTTCTCTGTGTAGCTTTGGAGTCTGTCCTGGAACTTGCTCTGTAGACCAGGCTGACCTTGAATTCACAGAGATCCACCTGCCTCTGCCTTCCGAGTGCTGGGATTAAAGGGGTGAGCCACCAACACCCGGCTAGTCCATTATTATAAGTGAGTTTGAATCACACAAAACCTGTAAGAACTGTGATTTTTATTTAAGTAAAATTAAATCTGCCCCCAATTCTATTTCAACAGGGAGACAGGGATTCCTTTCTCCCCACAACCCACACCCAGGATTGTCAAAAATCTTGGAATTGTTAGTTCTCCATACTGAGGTAGGACTCCTGTCAATGCAAAGAGACTTTCTTGGTCTGAAAGCACCCTAGGGCACAGTCTCACCACCTGAGGTCAGGGTCACCTTTTTGAGCACAGGTTGCCTCTTTAGCAGAACAGGACTGGGCAATAGTTGCCACGTGCAATGATCAAAGGCCCAGATGATCCACATGAAGCAGGAAAAGGGCCAGTCCATAACAGGTGTTCAAGAATCGGGCCTCACTCACAATGCCACTGCTGTGGGCTTCCAGTCCTACAAAAAGCCTTTCTGGGAGTAGGGAGGGGCTAGGTTTAGCAAATAAAAACACGGGTGGGTAGCCAGTTGCAGTCCAGAATAAGAGTAGTTGTATAGTGTGTCTCCCGCACCATGTCTTTTCTGGGGCAACCAAACAGGAGCAGGCTGGAGCTGGGGAAAGGCTGGGCTTTGTGGCTGGGGTGCAGGAAAGGGCTGCTCTCTGAGGGACAGGGGCAGGGGTAGGGGCCCAGGTCGGCGGCCCTGCGCTGTGTTAGCGCAGGGCGGCTCAGGCAGCCTTCAGGTCATGGGCAGGCTGGCAGGTGCGGTCTGCCTCTTGCCTTGCCCGCAGCCTGCGTTCTCGACTCTGGTCCAGTTCCAGCCAGTGCTGCACCTCTGCCTGAGCCTGCCAGCGGGAGGTTGGGGAGGTGTTGGGCCACACACACACACAGGCGCCCAGACATCAGCTTCCTCCTGCCCTAATAGCCCCTACCTCTCAGACCCAAAAGGTTGCCCTCCTGTCCCTCCAGCTCACCCGCAGCTGGGGGCGCTTGGCCCGGGGCGATGGCACGGTCAGCTGTGCTGTCTGCCTACGGCGGCGCTCAGCTGCCCTCTCCTCCATTCTGCGCTGCAGTTCCAACACGCGCTGGTCCTGAGAGGGTGTACCCAGGCTTGTTGTCTGGGCCTTCTTTTCCTCCCACCTGTACCGCGACAGCACTGACTTAGAAACTGGCTGGGCGACACCCAGGAGGGTGGGTTCTCGGGGATCCTGCCAGCACCCTTACCCTTTTAATCTTTTGTTTGCTCGTTTTTCTTTTTTTTCTCTCTCTCTCTTTTTTAAACACTTCACGAATTTGTGGCCATCCTTGCATAGGGGCCATGTTAATCTTCTCTGTATCGCGTTTTTTTGGTTTTTTTTTTGTATATATGTTGCCGAAGTGAGCACTTTTTTGGTTTTTTGAAACAGGGTTTCTCTATGTAACAGGCCTGGCTGTTCCCATGGAACTCACTTTGTTGACAAGGCTAGCCTCGAACTTACAGAGATCTCTGCCTCTGCCTCCCGAGTGCTGGGATTAAAGGCGTGCGCCACCACCGCCCGGCTAGTCTTTTTTTTTAAAGTGGCATCCTAACATAGAATTGGTATGAAAACTTCTTTTGCCTCACACTCCCTTTGGCACGCTCACGGTCCCCAGGTGACAGCATTTCTGCACATCCCCTCTTAATACGGGCCACTTTTCCCGTCCAATTGTAGGTCTGGCTGCCTGCAGCTTTGATTAAAGTGTATATCACAGCATGGGGCATGGACACGTGTTCTCCTTGCATTTTCGCTCTTGCCCAACTGTACTAGCCCTGTTCCCCTGCGAAAATTCCTGCAATAGAGGCTGACTGAAGGAGCAGGGCTGGGGTCCAAGAACATTGCTACCAGAGTTGAACCTTGAGAGGTACATTTGGGGTCTTCAAGGAAGGGGCCAGCAGCTGGGAAGTAGTGCCTTTCTTGAGCCATGTGTCACTCTGATTGTGACCAGCTGGCCCTTTCTGAGCAGCTGCAGTGGCATTGCTTCCTCTGAGTTGTGGCCAGGGCAGCGGCTGCTCAGGACCAGGAGTGGACCACTCTCTTCCACTGGCAATGGCTTCTTCTGGCCACCCTCCCATTAACATGAAGGCATTTTCTTTAGAGACCAGTGCTCCATCATAATAGGCCTAGTTACCACCTCCCCTGGAGCAGTTGTGACCAATCTGGCTGTCACTGGACACATAAAAGGTATGTGCCTATATGCACACACAGCTATGTGTGACCTAGATAGTGGCTTACAGAGAAAAACAGCAAACGGTATTTGAAAAGTCTTAGCAGTCTTGGGACTGTTGGAAAAGTGAGAATGCAGACAGGATATTTAAATGATGTTGAGAATTTTGGTTACTTTTGCTAGTTGTGTCATGGTGTTGTGGTTTATGTAGGACAGCATTTTAAAAAAGAAAAAGAAAATAAACACTACAGTGCTCATGAAGTACATGATGTCTACAACTATTTCTTTCTTTTCTTTTCTTTCTTTCTTTCTTTTTTTTTTTTTTTTTTTTTTTTTGAGGCAGGGTTTCTCTGTGGCTTTGGAGGCTGTCCTGGAACTAGCTGGTCTCGAACTCACAGAAATCCGCCTGCCTCTGCCTCCCAAGTGCTGAGACTAAAGGCATGCAGCACCACTGCCCGGCATCTGCAACTATTTCTATTTGGCTTTGAAGGCTGGTAAACAGCTAGCTAACTAGCTAACTAACTAGCTAGGTGAAGCACATATGACAGGAAGGTCCTTGTGACATTGATGCATTGCATGATACATGGACATCAAAGCCATTGCCACAGAACTGACAATCCTCCAATAAAATAAAAATGGCCAGAATTGCTGTAAAGGATTGTCCGACAGGGGCTGCTGGTGTGGCAAGGGTACCCACTGAGGAAGGCTCATAGCAGGCTTGCCGCTCCTTTGCTCCTACTACGTATGGAGGTGGCCTCCTTGGAACTATGGTACTCACCTCAAGGCTGCGGTTCTGCCCATGGCTGCACGGCACAGTGAGATTTGCTCCATTGTGCTCTGTAGCTTTTGGCTTTTGGCTCGTTTGCCCTGAATGATTTGATCCCGCTTTTCCTCCTTCTCTCGTTTCTGTGTCTCTTTAAGCAGTGCCAGTCTCTCTCGAAGTTCCACAACAGACATCTCACCTTCCAGACCATATCCTGGGATCTTTCAAAGAACAGGGCAAGACCTTAAACTAGCAGCTGTAAAGCCAGTCACCCCCATCCAAGAAGACCTTTCCTCTGTTTCAATCTGCCTGTGTAACCTCCAGCAGCAGCTCCAACCTGGAGCACTACAATAGAGTTGAACTTCTCAGCTGGATGCTCCTCACCTCCTTGGTGAGATCTAGTAGTCAACTGCAAAAGCCTCCCAGCCCTGCCCCCGTCCACCTGTGAATTTGGCTCTCCTCTGCCTTCTCATACAGGCTGCTACCCAATCCTTCCTTAGCCCTTGGTTCTCTCTGGCTCTGGGCTTTTAACTTGGGTGCTCCTTACTCTCCTTTCCATCTTGGGTCTGGAGAGTCCAGGAACCTCACCCCTCAATATGCAGCTCCCCAAATGGCTACCTCCAGGCAGTTTAGCTCTCCCCCCTTCAGAGACCCAGCTTTGATGGGTAGCTCTTTCCTCCAAATAAAAACATTCCATCCTGCAGATAAGAGCGAGGCTTCCATCCCACAATGAGGGATGCTCTCTCAATCTGGACACTTGCGGGGAGGGCCTAGGACCTCCCTGGAACCAAATGACAAACTCTAGAGATCCCCCATGGAGGGCCTTACCCTCCCTGGGGAATGGAGTGGGGATTGGGTAGGGGGTTGGGGGGGCTGGTGTGGGGGAGCGGGCATGGAGGGGAGGGAGAGGGAGCTGGGACTGACATGGGCAGCAAGCTTGTTTCTAATTTAAATATATAATTTTTAAAAAGTGTTTCAAAAAAAAAGAGTGAGGCTCCTCAGGAAGCAAAGGAAACTTTAAGGCTCAGGAAGCTCAGAAAATGAAAGGATTCATAGGCCTTGGTGGCCATGATTGTATAGCAATGACAGCTGCTGGAAAGAGAAAACTCTTAGGCAAGTGCTGAATAGCTATTTCTTTTAAAGGGAACAATCCAATCCAGGAGGGTAGGTGGGGGTGGGGTTAAGGTTCATGAGACTTAAGGTCCTCTCCCCAGCTTTATAAAATGAGTAAGCAATCACTGGGGAGGAGACTGACCAGTAGAGGTTTCGGAGGAGAGTCTCAGGCCTGTCAAGTTGCCTGCAAATGGTGCAGAGCTCTTGGGAGGCAGCTTTCATGAGCTGTCATCTGTGTTAGGGTAGGCTTTCCAGGGACACATCTGCTTCTGCGCCATTCCCGTGTCTGTAAGAAACACCTCACTCATGCTGCTGTTAGGAGCCCCAGTCCATTGGTTCACCAGGTTGGACTTTGGTGTATCCTGGGTTCCCTTTCTGTGGTAAGTAGATGTGTGGTGCATTTACTCAGGAAAAGGCTCTCACACAACAGCAGGCTGAGCTGCTTGCAAATTGTACAGGGAGCTCCTGGATGCAGCTTTTCTGAGTTGTGCCTTGCACTGGGGTGAACTTTTTGGTAAGTTCACCTTTGAGTCATCTATGCCTCCATAATTAGCTCTCTCCCATGCTCCTATATGTAGCCTCAATAAAATCACTGGCTCACTAGTTTAGATCAGGGTGGAGTTGTTTCTTTGGTCTGTGGTTGGTACCATATCAAGGTTAGTCGAAAGATCACAAAAAAACTCAGTCTTGCTGCAGCATGTACCTTAACCTGAATCCATCCACAGCTGGTGGTGTCCAAGTAACTAGGGGATTGTGGGTAGGACAAGACCCGCTTTTGACTTTTATGGGAATTCTGTGCCCGCTGTACCACACAAGGAGGTACCCTGAAACTGAAGTCTCCAGGGGGCACAGTCTCACCTGGGTCAGGTCTACCAGCTTGTCCTTGCGTGTGGGCTGTGTCTCCAGTGCACGCAACCGAGCGATGAGCTCACAGCGCCGCCTCTGCTCCTCTTTGGCTGCCTCCGTGCTCCGCTGCAGCAGCTCCCGGCTCTCTTCCATCACCTCCTGAACTTGGGAACCAAGTGGGGTGCTGATGAGGACAGTGAATGGCCTGGTGGACAATAGACAGGGGCTATGTCCTCCAGGAGTGTTTTCTTCAGACCTTGGCCCTTGCTCAGTCCTGGCCCACCCTCCAGCAACGCCACCCCTCACTGACCAAAGCAGCTTGTTTGGTAGTTGAGAAGGATATAAAGGAATGGGGCAGGCCCCGTGGCACCGGACTCCCTTCGGTACCTATCTGCTGCCGGCCCTTGACGAGCTTCATCTGGGCCACCTTGACATTCTTCTGGGCCTCAATGACCTGCTCCACCAGCTCCTTCATGGACTTCTCCTCTTGGAGGCGCCTCTCAGCACACTGCAGCATTAGCTCAGCTGTCTGCTCAGACAGAGGATCCAAAACACTGAGAACTGGACTGGGCTGGGTCCTCCCTTTAATCCTGTCCCAGCCTACATCAGAAGTTTGTGGGCACCCAGTCAGCCCTGCCCTGAGTTCATCCCAGAGCTGTCAGTTCCCGAAGAACCTAATCCCGAAGCTGGGCCTGCCTGCTGGGGAAGAACCTAGTCCCGAAGCTGGGCCTGCCTGCTGGGGAAGAACCTAGTCCCGAAGCTGGGCCTTTTGGGGAAGCTCCACCTTGTGCCCTCCTTCCTTCTTCCCAGGATTGTCCTGGGTGAGTTGCCAGCATTTTCTTGTGGCATCTCTAGAACCTGATGAAGTAAGATGCTCACAATGAAGGGAAACTGGTGGGGAGGGTCCTGCAAGAAGCACATGTGGTTAAGACTTGCATGTGCCAGTTGGACAGTGGTGGCACATATCTTTATCCCAGAAAGAAGGAGGCAGAAGCAAAGCACAAATAAGTGTCCAGATTTGATCTTCAGAACCAAAAGAAGTCAGCTCAGGGGGCATTGTTTTATTTTGAGACAGAGTCTCATATAGCCTAGACTGGCCTGGAACTTGCTATGTAACATGGGATAACCTTGAATTCCTGATCTTCCTATTCTACAAAGGAGCACTAAAAATTAAGGCATGTCCCACCACACACTATTTTTTAGTTGCCCAAGCTTGTCTCAAACTCACTGTGTAACTCAGGCTGACATCAAACTCACAATCTCCCTGCCCTTTCCTCCTAAGTGCCAGGATCATAGGCATTTGCACACACGCTAGGCTTCCAAAATTGTTTTTAATGGTTTTTTTTGGTTGTTGTTGTTGTTTGTTTGTTGAGACAGTGTTTCTCTGTATAGCCCTGGATGTCCTAGAACTTGAGACCAGATTAGCCTCAAACTCAGAGATCCACCTGCCTCTGCCTCCTGAGTGCTAAGTGACAGGGGTGTACCAGCTACCGCGTCTCAAATAAGTAAGCAAGAAAAAACAAACAAAGAAAAATGCCTGTTCTGTGCTGTGAACCTCTTCTCTAAGCAGAGTTACAGGACCCCAGGCCTGGATTACATCTTCTGGGACCAAGAGATAGAGGGCCAGGCCCATGGTAAGTAGACAGCTGAGAGCTTCATGTTGGAAGTAAGGAAAAGCCAACTCATGGTCGGGCAACAACTCTTACCACATAGAATTTGAAAGGTGACATAGCTCTGCAGATAAGGTACCACCTTGGGAACATGCACATATAAACCCAGAGGCTGCTTTTGCTAAGTGCACTGACTTCACTTGGGCTGCAAATACCCAATGTAGCTAAAGCAGAAGAAAGAAAACATGGCAGCTTTGCCCCCATTTTGTGTCTGTCTGTCTTTACTCTCAAATTCTGGGTCTTGGGGTTGGAGAGATGGCTCATCCATTAAGAGCACTGACTGCTCTTCCAGACATTCTGGGTTCATATCCCAGTACCCACATGGCAGCTCACACCTGTCTGTAACTCCAGTTCTAGGACACCCTTACACAGACCCACATGCAGGCAAAACACCAATGCACATAAAACAAAAAATTCTGGGTCTCATTTCTACTCCATTTTGTGCCTAGACATAATAATTCTTTAGGGCTGTTAGTTGACCTATATCCCCCAATGATGAAAACAAGACGATAACAGCAATGGCTTCTAGATTTACAGAGACATGTGAACCACCAAGTTTTTGCTTGTTCATTTTCAGTTTATATGTATGTATATGTATACTGCATGCATGTAATACCCAAGGAGTCCAGAAAAGGTTGCCAAGATGCCCTGGGACTGGAGTTTCTGGTGGTTATAAGCCACCATGTGGTGCTGGGATTAAAACATATGTCCTCTGGAAGAACAGCTAGTGTTAACTCTCCAGGAGTAACCGTCAGCTTTTTACAACATGTAGACCATGGGCAAAGCAACTAGGAAAAGAAGTCATTGTTCTAAACCTTAGCAGATCAACTCCATCTTGCCTAAATTCACCTTGGATTCCAAAACCATAGGTCTGTGTTCAAACAGTCTGCCTCAAGTCTCCGGGTCAGGCTTGCCTGGCCTGGGACTAATAGACACACAGATTTGCCATGTGCCATAGGGCAACATCTGGGCCTCCTTAAACTTCAGTTTCATTTAACTTTTTTTCAAAAGCTTTTTTTTTCTCCTTTCAATGCCACTTCTCAGTTGCACTGGGTCCACTGAACAGCATGGCAAGGCCTCAAGAAAGGGAATCACCACCAGTGGCAGTATAGGCATCAGCACAGTATTGGGGGTCAGTAAAGAAAAAGGAATGAGTGAGCTGGGCGGTGGTGATGCACGCCTTTAATCCCAGCACTTGGGAGGCAGAGGCAGGTGGATCTCTGTGACTCTGAGGCCAGCGTGGTCTATGGAGTGAGGGTGAGGACAGCCAGGGCTGTCACACAGAGAAATTCTCTCAAAACAAAACAAAACAAAAACAAAAACAAAAACAAAAGCAGGATGTGTGATGGGGGAAGAAGAGGCACAGAGGCGGGCTGTGGCAGAAAAGCACAGGGGTTGGTGAGACACACGCATCAGATCCGCACAAAGACGGCATCGCCAGGGAAGGCAGTGGCAGAGCAGACAGCCGGCTGAGTCTAGGGCCGGACACCTGGCCGTTTCCCTGATGGAAGTCTCAGACTGTGTTCTGCCTCACATTGCTGAGGGGCAAAAGGCAGTGAATACATCCTGGGTCCAGCACTTGAGTTCCACCACAGATACTATTCTACCCACAAGTCAGCACCCAAATAAGGGCTGTTCTTCAAGATGCACCAAGCAGGAGCTTTGAGTCACCTGCAGGGGAGAACTTCAAAACTACCACAGAGCTAAGGGTGCAGCTCAGAGATAAAGTGCTTGCCCTGTGTGTGTGTGTGGGCAGGGGTAGTGGTGGTGGCTGGGTTAATTCCTATACTATACAGAAAAAAAGCCCACAGGATGGTAGATGGCCTTTGTGTGACTGGAGCCAAGGGGAAAAGCACTGCAAGAGCTGTCAAATGACATCCAACTGAATGAAGAGAGTGGTTCCCATGGCAACTGTCATATGAACTGTTTCTCTCTGGTGGGCTTAGTGTTGACACTGGTACAGCAACCCTGCATTGGTCCTACTGTGATGGGGAGGGCGTTAAAAAGTGAGGCTTATTCAGTTTAGCTTATTATTTGCATGGCTCACCAAATTATTTTAAAAGGGGGATAAATTTAGTTAAGAGAAGAAAATATAACCAGTAATCAAGTCAGTGTTAACGAAATTAAAAATACCACTGTTGCTGGAGACAAAGCTTAGTACAGAGCACTCACATACCCTGCACAGGGCCCTAGATTCAAATGGACACATCCGTCCATCTGTCCATCCATCCATCTGTACACACACACACACACACACGCACACACACACTAAAAAGATCACTGTTACACCCATGATTTTAAATACATCTTTTTCATATGTGTTGACAGAGTTCATAATATTGGGAGCTTTGGGAGAAACAAGAGCTAGAACTCAACATTGGCATCTATGGTGAAGCATAGGGGCTTGTTGGAGAATAGTCAGGTCATTTTTTTAAGTCAGTATCTCTGGCCAGGTGGAAGTAAGGGGACCTTGCACAGAAAACTACACTGTAGTTGATTAGCACATACTGGGACTGCAAAAAAGGATCTTGTGCACAGTACACAAGAAAAATTAAACTTAATTTTACTTTCAAATATCCAGTGTCATCTAATGTGACTCTCATTAGGCAAAGAGTTTATCCATACAAATATGTGTTCTGGGCATGCTCAGAACTAACCGCAAGACCCCTGGGCATACAAAGTTTGGCTAGCAGAGCATTCGCCCACAGACACTGAAGGACACAGTTATGTGCCTGGGATGCCGGCCTCTGGCGAAGACAGTTGTGTTGACAAGGCTCAGGCTCACTAACAGTCTTCAGGTTTGGCTGGCTGTCACCCTCACATAGCATTCTCCTCCTTGGGTTCTGCCTGTGGCCACTAACTCACAAGATTCTTCAGTACCAGAGAGACCTTGTTTGGTTGTAACCAGGCCTGGAAAGGCTGTTAAGAGTATCTGTGGCAGAAAAACTGAATGGCCCCAGAAACCAAAGGAAACTGAACAATATTTTTCAGGTACTAAAAGAAAGCCAACCTAGAAAACTATTTCCAGTAAAAAAAAAAAAACAGAAAACAAAAAAAATACCCTCCAGGAAAGCAAAAGTAATACTTTGTTGTCAGAAATTCCACCCTAAGACAGTGGTTCAATGCTCTATTAATTTTTTTATTATTGTATGTGTTGATAATATATGTGTGTGAGTGTGGACATGCATGGGTCACAGAGTGTGGGGATCAGAGGACAACTATAGGAATTAGTTCTCTCTGCCTACTGTGGAATAAAGGAGTTGAACTCACATTATCAGGTTTTCTCTGTAAATGTTTCCCGCTGAGCCATCCTGCTGCCTATCTTGTTTTGAGACAAGGTCTCCTGGCCAAGGCTGGCCTCATACTTACTCTATAGCTGAGGATGACCTTGAATTCATGTTCCTGTCACTCTTACAAGTGCAGTGACTACAGGTGTGATCAACCACATCTAGCCCCCCCCTCTCTCTGTGTGTGTGTGTGTGTGTGTGTGTGTGTGTGTGTGTAAGATTTCCCCAGCTCGTTTGATCTGGAAAAATGACATCATTAATAGACTATAGTAAGTTATATACTGCTGTAATTTGGATCTTAAATGTCCACTAACAGGTCCATGAATTAAGACTTGGTCCCCAGCCCATGGCACTGTTAGGAGCTGGTAGAACCAATGGGAAGAAGTTAGGTTAGGGAGGACATGACCTTGAAGGGATAGTGGAACATGGGATCTTCTTCTTATCTTTTGTTTCCTGCAGTTTTGTTCCATCATGAGCTTCTATCCTGATGCACTGCACACACTACAAACTGTAAAAATTTAAGTCAAACAAAACCTGTTTTTCATTTGAAGTTGATTATCTAGGTATTTTGTTACAATAATAGAAAACTGTGTAATACATAAATATATAGTATTTTGAACAGCAATTTAAAAGAGCTAGGTGGGCTAGGTGTGGTGACACCAGTCTTTAATCTCAGCAATTGAAGGTGGCTCTATGTGAGTTTGAGGCCATCTTGGTCTACATAGAAAGTTCCAGGCTAGCCATGGGTACATAGTGACCTCAATGTGGAAGTGGTTCATGGAGACAAGTGGATAACTGAAATTTACGGACCAACTGCTCTAGTCAAATTGATGAGTCTTGGGTTCATCTAGACATTGTCTTAATAAATAAGATGGAGGGCCCACAAAATGGCATAGTGGGTAAGACATTTGCCTCTCAAGTCTAGCCACCTGAGTTTGATCCCTGGGATTCATATAAGGGTAAATGGAAAGAATTGACTCTACAAACTTGTCTTCTGCCCTTCACATGCATACTGGGACACATGCCCTTATCCAAAATAATTATAAAGAATTGAGAATTAAAAAAAAGAAAACAGAAAAGATACTCAACAATGGCCTCTGATCACCATATATACCCACATACACATGTACATACACTCATACTAAGTATACACAACACACACATACACATATACACCAAACACACATGTACAAATAATAAGAAGAAAAAATGCTGGATGGCAGTGGTGCACACTTTAATCTCATTACTTGGGAGGCAGAAGTAGGCGGATCTCTGTGAGTTCCAGGCCAGTCTGGTCTACAGAGTGAGTTCTAAGACAGCCAGGGCCATAGCCAGGGTCTTGAAAAACCAAACCAAACAAAAAAATCCAACAAAAACACCCCCAAAGGATGGTAAATATGCCTCATGCAAATACTAACTGAAGGGAAGAAGGATTAATATAATTTAAAGTAGGTAGCAGAGCAAAGAAAATTAACAGTGACAGAGATACAACATAATACTAAAAGACCTAACTCCAGAGAAGACAGAAGCTGCAAATTCACATACACTGGGTAACAAAGCTGCAGAATATGTAAAGCAAAACCAAAATAGAAAGGAGAATTTCACAGTTATATTTGTAGATTTCAACCCCTTCTCAACAATGCACAGATCAACTTGGTAGAAAATTAGCAAATGAAGAACCCAATAGCACTGATAATCAGCAAGAAGTGATGGATTTCAGAGAACCCACCAAGACCAAAGAGCACAACTTCTTTCAAGTGCCCAACATACATGGGACACACAAATCCCAACAACTCAACACAGGAAACGGTGCCAAGAAGCCTGGCAATCCCAGCACTTAGGAGGCTGAGTGGGTCACAAGTTTGAGGCTTACATGGTGAGATTCTCTTTCAAAACAAAAGGCAAAGTAAATGAACAAATTACAGTGAGATACGAAAAAGGACAGTGAAGTGTGTTCACTAACCATAGCAGATTCAAATTAGAAAAGAGAATTGGAAAATGTACAAATGCTGCGAAACCAAACAACACATTTTTAAAATAACTCAGGGGGCAAAGAGGAAATCTAGAGCAATGGGGTGAAATATACCGACGTTCCAGCTAAAATAGAATAGAACATGTCAGGATTAGAGGCATACAAATAAAGCCTTGCACAAGAGAAAACACCAAGCACTAAATCCTCACAGTGGAAAAGCAGAGCTGTCTCCTATCAGCAACTCATGTTCTCATCTCAAGAAGATGGAAAAACAAGAGTACAGTAAACAGAAAGTAAGGGGAGGGGAGACAGAAGTGATTATAACAGAGAAAACCAGTGAAGCAGGAAGTAAATTTTTAATTTTTGACAGTGTGGTGGCTATTTTTGATTATCAACTTGACTACATCTTGGATTAACTAAAATGCAAGTGGATGAATACGCCTGTGAGGAATTTTTCTTAATTAAATCATTTGATGTGGGAAGATCCACTTCTAATCTGTATCATTTGAGGTGGGAAGATCCACCCTTAATCTGGGCCACACCTTCTGTTTGCAGAACATGGAAGGAGGAAACTCTCTTTGCCGGCTTACTCCTCTCTCTTGCTAGCAAGTCCATTCCTTCAGTGGCATTACAGCGTACTTCTTCAGGATTCCAGCATATACTGAAAACCAACTGAGACACCCAGCCTCATGAGCTGAACAACTACTGGATTCTTGGACTTTCTGTTGGTAGACAGTCACTGTTGGACTAGCTGGATCACAGCCTGTAAGACATTCCCTTTAATATACATATGTCACTATATAGACATATATATATATATATAATCTCTCTCTGTGTGTGTGTACATACTCATTCTATCAATTCTGTTCCTCTAGAGAACCCTGCCTAATACAGACAGAGTCTCAATATGTAATCCTGGCTGGTCTTGAACTGGCAGATATCTACCTACCACCACACACAGCAGTAGGAATTTTTAAAAGATGTTGGAAGAGTACTATAGATTTATAAATGTGAAAGCTTAGTGAAATGGATCAAGTCCTCAAAATAAACAAACTATCACAACACAACTCACTTAGCATGAAGAAATTTTTTTCAAAAAGTTCTATAACTGTTAAGAAAAAAATGTTTTTTGAGACAAGTCTTACTCTCTAAACTGCCCTTGAACTCATGTTAATCTTCCTGCCTCACCCTCACAAGTGCTGGACTCAATCTAGGTATGAACCCCCACATCTAGATATATGAAATGTTTTCTTTCTCTTGATTTATTTGTACTTTTTTTCCCTTCCAGTACTAGGGGCTGAACCTAGGACTTAGCAGATGGTAGTCAAACATTCTACTACTGAGCTACATCTCTAATGGAATGGAGTTTGTAATTGAAAAACTTCCAAAAGAGAAACATTCTGCTGAGGGTTTAACTGGTGGCCAAACATGTCCTTCTCATGCCCAAAGTCCTGGGTTCAGTTCCTAGTACCAAACAAAGCAAAACAAAATTAAGAAAGAAAAAACAAATCCTAAAATTGAATACAAGCTGGGTGGTGCATGCCTTTAATCCCAGCAGAGGTAGGTGGATCTCTGAGTTTGAGGCCAGCCTGCTGGTTCCAGGACAGCTAGGGAGCCAGGGCTACCCAGAGAAACCCTGTATCAAAAAAGAAAAAAATAGGAACATACACAAGTGAAATCTACTCAAAGAAGTAATGTGAATGTCCTCCAAGTGGCAGCCTTTGAGCTTTGGTTCTCAGTGGGACACATCCAACTAGACCTGGGTGGCTTCTGGGCAGGATCAGGAATACCACTCAACCCAGTTAACGTGAAACTCTTATGGACAGACTTCTGGCTGTTTTAGGTAGGGACAAAGAGACCATGTCTCCCCGTAGGTCTTAGTAGGTGTTGACCGAGGGTCACAGTGGCTGCCAGAGTGTAGTCAGCCACAGCACAGGGGCTTGATTTCTCTGCTGGTCATAGCTTGTCACTCCCAGAAGTCACACTGTGACCCTGGCCACTCCTACACAATGTACATCACCTCCTCCTTCTTCTGGTCCGCCTTTTGCTTGTTTTCCTGCATGAGGTTCTGCCGAGCCAAGATGGCCTCCTCGTGGCTCAGCTTTCCTTGCAGCCGCCGGCACAAGCCTGCAGCTAGCTGCTCCTCCAGGTCCTTTGCCTGCATCTTCTTCTGCCACTCAAAGAACTCAGAGAAGTCTCCAGCCCCGTCCACAAGCTTATCCACTCTAGGGGAAGGGAGACAGCTAGGTTCCTCATGTGACCAGGAGCACTAAGCAGGTCATAGGTCCTCTCCGGCATGGACAACCTCAGAGAACAGTCGCCTACCAGTCATCTCCTCAGCATTGCAAGAACAAAATAAAACAAACTAAAAAACCTATTTGATGATTACAGTTGGCATCTTGGGGTAGACAGTCTTGAGGACAAAGTTTTTGCCTTGTGGCATTTACCATCACCTCCAGGTACCACAGCAGAATTGAATTAGAAGATACTCAGCTGTTGTCCATTGTTGTAGCATGCTTGAGGGCTGGTGAAGAGAAATCCTATGTCCTGGTTTCAGAAGGGTGTTGAGTGAAAACATGGAACAAACAGTAGGGTTGGGCTGTGTGTTACTGAAAAACTTGGAGTTCCTTGTTCTGCATAAATGAGAATGGACCAAGGAAGAGCCACTTGCTAGTCAGGGATATATCCTGTGGTCTATATGAGCACAGTGACTGATTCCAAGATTCCAGAGAAAGGCTTGGTATTAGTGGTAAGGCATGGCCCAGGTAGGTGAAGGAATAAACACTGATGTGTTACATAACAGGGAAATTCAATACTGTTTTACTATCATGAGAGGCTCAGAGCAAGAAATGGTCCTGACCTACTGTTAGTATTCAGGCATCTGTACTGGCCTGCCTTTGAAGTGTTGACAAGATACCTCAGCTGCTGCCACTAAGAGCACCACTTGTGCCTAGTCACCATGGTCCCTTTAAAAGAGCCCTGCCCACCTCCCATCCCTCTCTTCCTCTCCCTCTTTCTCTCTGTTCCTTTCTCCTCTCTCTTTCTCTCCCCCCCCCTCCCTGCCTCTCTTTCCTCTCTCCAGCTGCTCCTGTACCCAGAGGTCTGTCCCTCATCCCCTTTCCTCTTTTGACTACCCTTCTCCCTTAATAAAAACAAAACAAAACTTGAATTCTGTCCCATGGCATCTTTCTCTCTCGAGCAGCTTTTTAAAATTACAATACCTACCCGGGTTATATCTCACCCTGGAGGGAGAGGCAATGTGAGCTGAGCCACTCCTACTTTTGGAACTGACCTAATAGAAGCCCAAAAGTCCTCAGAGACTTTAATGACAGAACTGGAGAACAGCAACAGGACAACATCTTCTGGGTCACATCTCATTTCCCTGTGAGGGATGCATGTTCAAAGATGGGGTGTGGACTTGGGCTCTGGCTGCCTGTTTGACTGCTAGCTGACTGCCCCTAGGTAGCTTTGGATCGGGCAGGTCACCAGAAAGTCCAAGACAAAACCGATATCCCAGTGCTGGGATCTGGGAGACAGAGCAATGACAGTTAAGCTGATTCCTCTTGGCCAGCGTTGTAGTCAACTACACCTACCTCTGAGGTCTTGACAAAATGCAAATGGCAAGATTGATGTGAGCTTTTGGACAGTTTAGCAGGTAGTCTTAGAGGGTGCGCACCTTAGAAGAGTAGGGAGGCACCTACTGGCTCTCCTATGGCTCCATGCATCTCTCCATCAGTAGCATTCATAGTATCTTTTACAATGAAGTAGTAGATGTATATAAGTGTGCCCCTGAGTTTCTGTGAGCTGTTCTATAAAGCGAATCAAACCCCAGGAGGAGACTTGAAACACAATTTATATCCCAGAGGCACAGGGAAAGCAGCTAGGAACTGCAATTAGCACCTCCAGGGAGAAGTCTTGGGGATGCAGCCCCAAACCCAAGAGGGCTGGTGTTATCTCCAGAGGGTGCTGAGCTGCTGTCCACTCTAAGTTTTGCTGACTTGTGGAGTGGAATGTGTTGCTGAGAAGGTAGGAAAAACTAAAGTGGGTTTTGCTTGTTTATTTTGAGCCAACATCTTTCTGGCCTAAACTCTCCCTTCTCCGACATCATCCTTCCAAGAGTTAAGATTATTAGTATGTGGACCGCTATACCCTGCTCTGGCCATGCTTGCATTTTCCTCAATGAACTCAGAGCCTCCTCCTCCTTTCTGCTGAACTGCCTGATGACAGGCGGCTCTTACTCTAGGTTTTGTTCTTGAGGGAAAATACCCCTGGGGGGGAAGGGTCAGAATTAGATGTCATCTGCCTCTTACCTCTGCAGCTCCTTCTCCACCTGCCGCTGGTATAAGGCCCCTTCCCGAAGGATGGTGGCTGTGTTCAGCTTGACTGGGAAGCTGTTGGGCTGTGGCAGAGGGGAGGAATGGATGGTAGGTGTCTCAAAAGCAAGAGTCCTGCTATCAGCTATCAAGCCTTCCAGTTCGTCTCCCACTTCAAGAGTGAAGCTCTCTGTGGGGCCCTTGGCTCCTCCTGCCCCGACTCTCAGACCTTACTTAGGTCAGGCAGGTCCCCCCCCCCAAGAAGAGGCCTGATAAGCCAGGAGGCGCTCACCTTGTAGAAAGTCAGATTTGGAGTTCTGCGTATTCGGGGTGGAGACTGAAGCTGCTGCTGTTTCTTGAAGTCCTGTAAATAAGGCAGAGGTAGTCTGGCATCTGTGCCTGCTCGGCATCCCTGGAAAGTCACCCACTCCCCTGTCCTCACTCTGGCTACCGATCCACACGTGCCTACCCTGGCATTCTGTCTTCCACTGTACTCTAAGCCTTGCTGGGGTGCTCAGCCTCCTGGGCAGCAGCAAGGAAGGGAAAGGCTCTGCTAGGCCTAGGGACAGTAGTGGCCAAATAGGGTTGCTAGCTTCCTCAGGGTTCAGTATCCTTTCCCTCCGCTATCCTCCAGGGCTAACTTATCATTGCCCTATTCCCTTTTCTTGGGCTCAATACCTGCCCCATGCTTCTTGCTGTAGAGTAAAAGTTGGGGAGACCTTAAGTGCCAGTATGGAGGAATAGTCCATAAAGGCACCCATCACAACCCCAAGCATGCTGCTGACTGGAATACATAGCCCTGTGACTATGCAGCTCTTAGATCCTGTGTAGATCAGCCAGGATGGCCCCACTCTCTGGAAGACAGAACTTCTTTGTATTGGTCCCTAGTCACTATAGTTTTTAAATTGATTGATTGATTCATTTTTTTGAGACAGTGTTTCTCTATGTAACAGCTCTGGCTGTCCTAGAATTCACAGAGATCCACCTGCCTCTGCCTTCTGAGTGCTGGAATTAAAGGCTTGCATCACCACACCCAGTCTTTCTACATAGGTGTGGGGAGATGGATCAGTGGGTAAAGGCACTTGCTGCTGAGCCTGCTGTCCTGAGTTCAATGCCTGGGACCCATATGGTGGAAAAGAGCCAATTTCTGCGTGCTGTCCTTTGACCTCCACAAGTGTGCTGTGGCACATGTGGCTGCAAGGCAAGGATGACCTGCACTACTGGTCCTTCTGTCTCTACCTCCTGAGTTCTGCGATTACAGGCATGTGGCACCGAGCCTGGTTTATGTGATGCTGGGGATGAAACCCACGGCTTCATGAATACCAGGCAACATCTACCAACTGAGCTACATCCTCAGCCCCAGAAGGAAGAATTTTATGGCATAAGAAAATGCTACCATGAAGACTGGGCTTGCCTCAGGGGCTGGGCATTACCTGTGCTGGTGGATCCCTGTGCGATCGGGGCATAGCACACCGTAGCTCCTCCATGTTCGCTCTCAGCAGCAGCTCCTGCCGTGATATCATGCTGTTGTTCCCCCACCAGCTACAACCCAGGGTCCTCAGGCAATTGTGTGTGTGTGGGGGGGTGTAGAATGCATGCGGTATGCCTAACATCCCCAACCTTCTCCCCTTCCTCTGCTCTTAACAGCCCAATGGAGTCTCTAGGGAGACAGGGGTCCCACATGGCCACCTCAGCCTTCCGGCGGTTGTATCTTTTGATCATTTGCAGAAGCTGCTGCTCCCTGGGCTCCTGGTAGGTGCTCTGAGGGACCTGGTGGAATGGCAGAGGGACAAGTCTGTGGTTAATGACCCATAGTGTACAAGGTCAGACCGGAGCAGGCATGAGGTTTAGAGCCAAGTATGGGACGTGGGTAGACAGGGAGCTGTAAGGCTAGGACACTGAGGCCATGCCATTGTTCTGGACGAGAAGCCAGGGAGTGCAAGGGGAGGCAGCCAGCTCTTAGGACAGGAGGGGTTGGCAGAGTAAGCTGCCTGTGAAGGGACGTTAAGATAAGACTTTGGTCTGTCCTCTGAGTTCAGTCATAGGAGATCCTAGAGGAGCTGTGTCCATCAGGGGTCAGGTGAGGGTCCAGCCTGGTCACCCTTGAGCTGAGATTCCTGAACCTGTCTCTCTAATCCCCTGCATGTTTCAAAGACTTGGCCAACCCAACTCATCTAAACCTAAAGCTCTCATATCCCTCCACCTGCCCTGCCCCAAGCCTTGATGACCTTAGTGAGGACCCTGTGCTCTTTTTCACGAAGGCCTTCCTCTGTAGCTGTGTCTCTCACACCCAGAGCCATCTCCAGTCTTGTCTGCCTACTTCAAAAAGTTCAACCAAGTGCCTGTTTTCTTGGCTTCTTTCTTCCTGACAGCTGTGTTGGTTCCAGCCCACCTGAGTGTGTGTCACCTCACACTTTCTGTTTGTCCTGCTTGGCTGAGGGACAGTTCTGCTTGTCCCCTCACTATGACATAGTAGACCTTTTGTGAGCTTACTTCTGTCCAAATCCTCCATGCTTTGAGTGCATACTGGGAAGATTATATCCATCCCCCACTCCCCCACCCCCCAGCCGTTGTATTGCAACTTCTCATCTGCTGTCTAACTTGGGGATGGAAGAACACTACCTGGGGCTATCGTGTGTTTTTGGCTCACTGTTTATGCCTCAGGCACCCATAGCTCGTCAGTCCAGGAGGTGGAAGGGAGTCCTGGCCATGGGTCAGAGCATGGAGGGTGCACAGGTCCTGTGTATACAGAAGTGAGCTCAGAGAAGGCTCACTATGTCCTAGTGAGGGGACAAGCAGAACAAACAGAAAGAGAGGTGACCAGTCAGATTAATTCTTGAGGAGTTGGCACACCAGAAACAAAAGAGATTCTGCAGATGGGGAAACTGTGGAGTTGCTTAGCAACAAAGCCCCAGTAACCTATCTACCCATAATTCCATCTGATTACTCATCATCTATCCACTACCCATATAGTCATTTATTCATCTATCCCCCCATCTACTCATCCATCTATCCATTCTACGGCATGAATAAAATGGATGGATGACAAGCCAGGCAATGAGCATATCCATAAATTGTAAACAATAATCAACACTATGGAGAAAAGATAGGTCAAGGAGAAGAAAACTGGTGGAGGACCCAGGGGAGCTGAGGCCTCATGAAAAGCTTCCAGAAAGACAGATTTTTCAGTGATATTTGAAAAATGTATGGAGCCGGGCGTTGGTGGCACACATCTTTAATCCCAGGACTCGGGAGGCAGAGGCAGGTGGATTTCTGTGAGTTCTAGGCCAGCTTGGTCTACAAAGTGAGTTCCAGGATAGCCTCCAAAACAATACAGAGAAACCCTGTCTCGAAAAACAAAAAGAAGAAAAAAAGGAAAATGGATGAAGGGAGGTGAGATGTGGGCCTCCAGTGTCATGCCCTCTCCTCTACAATCCTTCATTCTATGAGGACCAGACTGACCTAGCAGGCTGAATCCACTGTCAGTGCTTGTGGAATCACAGTCTAGTCAGGACTTAGCACTCAGAAAGCCAGTGACCAGGTCAAGCAGGCATAAGACCTAGGCTGGACCAATGAGACCTTTCTGAATAGCTCCTGTCCCTATATATTCTTTCCTGTCCTAGACAATGTACAGTGTAGACACAAGACATGGATTCACATTAACTTAGTCTAAAGATTAAACTCACTTATAGAGGAGACTAGTGTAGAGGCAGTCACAGAGAAACAGCTAGAACCCTGACTAAGCTGTATCTGAAGCCTGTTTATACTTTAATAGCAGTGGTCAGTTGTCTGAGCCAACTGAGCTGCACTTTTCTGTTAGTTGCAGTTCAGAGCATTCTGACTGATAAAATAAGAAACACGCAGGAGACAGAGAGGCTGTCAGCAGAGGAGACAGATATGAGCTTCCCTAAGTAGGAGCTAGGCATTTCTGGGGCTTGGGCAGACACTCTTGACCAAGCCTGAAAAACATCTACACCATGGCTTTCAAGTGTGCCATCTAATGGAGATGGTGCATGCCATGGCTAATGGTGAACTCCAAGAATAACCTAGACATGTCTAAATCCATGGCCAGATAGTATCACTTAGCACCTCCTAATTGGGCTCAGTATGTGGTAGGCTCTGGGTTGGCCAACTTTGTTCTCTATAGGGGTGTGTGGAGGTGTGGGGGTGCATTGTAGGTTACTGAGTGCTCCTGGGTGGTCCAGTACATTCTTGGCCCTGGGGGAGCCCAGCTGACCAATGACCCCCACAGTCTGTTTCCCAGCCTGAACATCCTGGTGGTGCAGGCATGTACCCACCACAAATGCCCAACTCACACGTTTTGTCTTGGCCACAGTGGGTACAGGCTCAGGCATTGTAATGGCACGGGGCCTTGGAACAGTCAGATTGAATTCCTTGGGCTCTGTGAGCTTGGCCTTGATCTTTGAGGGAGGCATTTGATCCGTCGGCACTCCCTCCAGTTGGTTGATAAGCTCCTGGACCTCTGGTTGCCATCTTGAAGGCAAAAGCAGAGAAGGCCCTAGAGTCACATCCTAAACAGGTCACCAAGAAGCTGGCCCCAGAGATCTGAAGGACCCTAAGTGCTTGATTGTCCTTCAGGGTGAGATGATGATGAACGGGTGACTTTTCTCTATTAACTTGTAGGTGCGGTTTAGCCACACCTTTTGGTACATTGAGTTTCCCTTTGCACAGATAAGAAAACTGAGACCCACTTGATAGGGGAGCTGGGAGATTGCTACATGCCCACTGCATGGATGTGGAGCTGTTTAAAGATGAGCAGCAACTGGGGTATGAAGCTAATATGGGCAGTGCATACGGTCTGATGGAGGTAGCTTGGAATAGGGAAAAGAAGCTGGTAAAGGAGAGGAATGCTCTGGAACAGCACTCTTGATAACAGGTGGAGGGAACTGTGGGTTGTTGGGTGGGGTGAGGGCCGCATCCCTCTAAGGGACATCCAACTGTCCTTGCACTCAGTCTCAAGGTCCTGTGGAGCATTCAGAAGGGTCTTGGTATGTGGCCCAGAGGTCTAGGAATCTCCCTTTCTCCATACCACGAGTGAGCCTGGGCCATCATCACCAGCCTGTTCAACGTTTCCTCCTGTGGGACTCATCAAGGGTAGATGCATGACTTGAAATAGTTTCTGCCTCATCCCTAGAACCAGGGCTACTCAGAGGGAGTGAGGCTGCAAAGAGCTCTCATAAGGCCGTGCCTGGACTGGCCTTCCAGCTTCAGGTAGGCGTGTGGAAGCAGCTGTAGGCTTGTGCCGAGGCTGGTCCCAGAGAGGGCTGTGTTAAGTGTGGAAATAGCACACAGCTGTCCCCTCATTTTTGGACTTTGTCCTAATTGCCAACAGTGGGGATCAGTTGGGACAGGAAAGCTCTCCTTGGCAAAGAAGTAGCTCTGAGAAACCACTCTCTGTGGTCAAAGTCCCCTACACACAGCTAGCTCACAAGCTGTCTACTTGGATCCAGCCTATCTGCCTGTCTCTCGGAAGACACGGTGCTCCCCCGACCCTCTTAGAGGAATGGAATCCAGGAGACCCATACACATCTTGCTATCCCTGCCAGGGGCTGTGGTAGGTAGATTCATTATATCTTTAAACTCTCACCCTAACCTGGAGCATTACCTGGCCTCTCACAGAGTTTCTATAAGCAGGAAGGGAATGAGGAGGCCACCCACCCTCTGAGGCACCTAGAGTGGGCACAAGACAATTTTCGGAGACCCAATGCCCTGCCACAGCTGACCCACCTCATCAGAGGGTCAATCCAATTTTCCTTCACGTGGGCTGTTTCATAGATGAGGCTCCACTCGTCCTTGATCCATGAGCACAGGTTCAAGGGGTTAAAGAAGAACCTGAGGAACTGAGGTAGAAAGTCCCTAAGCAGCTCAGCTGTGGCTCAAACACCACCCACTGCTGCCCCAGCACCCCTGGGCATTCATCCAGCTTCTAGGCCTGGAGGCCCGGTGCTCCACTCCTGGGTAAGATGCTGCAGGGACACATGGAGGGTTGCCCCTGCCACCCACCCTGCCCCATTCCAGAGGGATCTGTCATTCTGGGAATGTGATAATGCCATCTTATGTGACCTGTAATGGAAGGGGGAAGGCTGGAAAAGCCCTCAGACCTTGGAAGGTGGCCTGTCACTCAATCATTCATAGTGGGTGTCTGATCTCAGCCCTGGGACTAAGGCAGTCTCCAAAACCAACCAGGAGGGACAGCCAATGGCCCTGGGTCTACATTTATGCCATTATCCTGTTTGCAGGATCCGGGGACCACATGTCGGAGAGCTCTGTAGTGACACAAGTCACACAGCTGCTACTTGGAAGCAGGAAATGTATTTGGGAGGTGACCCTGGAAGCACATGGCCAGCTGAGAGGACAATGGTGAGCAAGGCCTCTGGTCACTGTCGCCTCCCAGTGTGACTATTGTCCTCATCAGCTTCATCCTCACCAGCCTCTAGCTTCCTTGTGGCCTGCAATCCTTTCCCAAACAGAGGCTACCAAGGCCTCCTTCTAGAGCAGTATTTCTCATGACCCCTTTGGGAGTGGGGCATACGGCCTTTTCATAGGGGTCTCCTAAGCCTTCCTGCATATCAGATATGTACATTACAATTCATTACAGCAGCAAAATGACAGTTATGAAGTAGCAACGAAAATAAAGGGTCATAGCATTAGGAAGGTTGAGAACCAAGGTTCCAGAGCTTTCCACAGTTCCCCACTTGGCAGCCTTCCCACGTTCCTAACTTACCTCTGTGGCCTGTCACCTTCTCAGCCCTTGCCCATTGGCCTTATCCTATCACCCACTTCCCAGTCTGTCATCTGTCAGTCTTGGCTCCTGATGGGGAAGCTGGCCTCTGGGGTCCTCACCTCCTTTGTGCGGGCTCCATCCCGTTTGGGGACATCGTATCACTTTTTTATTTCCGCACTCCTCCCCACACTCCCACAACAGCATCTCAGCAGGGTCAAGGCCACCGTTCTCGCTGGGATGTGGTGGGACAGTGATATTAGAGACCCTGCTAGAGTGCGGAGTGGGGCTCCCTGTGGTGTGGGAGGAGGTCTAGAGAGATGCCTCACTAGTTAAGAGCATGTGCTGCTCTTACAAAAGACCCGAGTTCAGTTCCCAGCACCCACGTCAGGTGGCTCACAACTGCCTGCAACCCCAGGGGATCCAATGTTCTCCTCTGGACTCTGAGGCACTGACATGTGTACATATCTGACCTGTACATACAATTAAAAATATAAAAGTGGATCATTGGCTGGCATTGCGGCATATATCTTCAAAGCCAGGAATTGGAAGGCAGAGACAGGTGGATTTCTGTGAACTTGAGGTCAGTCAGCCTGGTCTATATATTGAGTTCCAGACCAGCCAGCCTACATAGTGAGATTCTATATAAAAAAAGAAGAAGTAAGCCGGGTGTTGGTGGCGCACGCCTTTAATCCCAGCACTCGGGAGGCAGAGGCAGGCGGATCTCTGTGAGTTCGAGGCCAGGCTGGACCGACAGCCTCAAAAACAATACAGAGAAACCCTATCTCATAAAAACCAAAATAAATAAATAAATAAATAAAAATAAAAGAGAAGAAGTAGCCTTTGACCATCTGGAAGGTTCGTAGAGCATAAGTGAGGGGGTCCCTGGGTGCCAGGGCTTCTAGATCTTCTACCTGCAGTCTCGGAGCAATAGGCAGTATCCCCTATAGAGGCCATGGACTAAAACTGCCTTCCAGGCAACCTGGGCCTGTGATGCTTTATAGCCATGTCACTCATGACCACAGTAGCAGCAGCAGCTAAGACAGGCCACTCTGTTGCCAACAGCTGGATCTCCATCTTTACATGGCAGGAACTAGAGTCACGCAACGGGGCATGGAATATGCAGTGAACAAGGAAAGGCCTTATGCAGGTCACCATTTGATCTCTGCAGCTTGGGTCTGGACTTTTCTTTTTCTTTGGACATCACAAAGGCTAAGGAAATGTTTAATCTGAGCTTTAGCCTCAGCCTTTTCTTTCTCCCTCTCCCCCTCTCTCTTTAACCCTGAGGCAGAGACTCAGGCTAGTTCCCATCTCAGCCTTCCAAGCTGTTGAGACTACAAGCCACAAGCCCTGCCTCACGTGGGTTTTGAGGGCTGTTGTCAGGAGTCTACAGAGCTCCCTAGGCTGGTCAGTGATCAGGTCTGGGAATCCTGAGAATAGTATGTGATCTGCACCCCAAGCATCTGTTGAGTCAGCACTGCGGGACCCAGTGTAGAAAGCAAGGTGGATGTTTTCTCAATATTCATTATGAATTCCAGCACAAGGCAGTAAAGCCTGAGCCAAGTACAGGTCATTCTGAGTCTCAAATTGGCCAGGGCAGTCCCAAAGCATCACTCAGAAGATGCAATCGATTTTTACTTCTTTGTCATAAAAATGAAGCCTTTGCTTAAGATAATTCTAATTGTTTATCCATCATGGGGTATGTACAGGTAGGAAGGCCATACAGTCAGATTTCCCTGAGACAGAGAATATCGTCCTGTACAGGGAGTGTCAGATGGTATTAAGCTGAGAAAAGATGACCCTGCCAGTTTCTCCAGCTAGAGGCTGAAAGGTAGGGCTGGTCAGATGCACATCTGTACCCAGTTCTTGACCCTCCTGGTTGGTAGCCTCAGCTATGGTCCTGTGGTGGGGGCAGAGGGGCTCACCTTGCAAGTCTTACCCACAGGCTGGGACTTGATGATGCTGCAGAAGAGCTGGAAGCCGAGCTCATCCAGCTGGAACATGGCCAGGTAGCAGATCACTGAGGAGAGAGCATGGTATGAGGAGTGCCCAGCTGCCCTGCAGAGGGGCTCTGTGTGTGACCTTGGGAGAATTCTGCAGCTGCCCTGAGTCTTGCAGACACTTTATTCTGTCAGGACACATAAGGACAGGTCCATATGGCAACTACCCCTCCATGCTCAGTGACTTGGGGCTTTTAGCTCCCAGACACATTACACTGCATTTAGCCAATTCTCAGACATTCCAGGGTTTTTCTGGGCAAAAGTTGTATCATCTTCAGTTTTGTTGATCTTGTGAGCTGAGCCACTCCGAGCCTTTGGGTATGGAGGCCCCTCGGATGAAGCTGCTGGTTCTGCCTCTGAGCCAGACAGTGAGGGTCAGCCCAGTTTTGCACCTGGCACCAGCCACCTGCCTTAGCCTACTGGTATGCTGGGCTAGACCTCTCTCTACCTTAAGGTAGCACCAGCCACTGTCCACAACAGTCACCATGTTCTCTGAATGCATACAGTGGTCAGAGGTGGCTCTCATATTTAATCTCTCTCTGGATGATCCAGATTAGCATATGCCTATTCTCTCCAGAGGTGTCAGGGTTAGGGCTACAAACAGACTACAAGAGGTATGTCATTTGGCCCAACCTGCCCTCAGGGGCATTCTCTTTCAGATAAGTGTCTGGGGGTCCAGAGGCTCCAGGTATGTCTTTTGCCCCAACCTGCCCTCAGGGACATTCTCTCCCAGATAAGTGGCTGGGAGTCCCGAGGCTGCATGTCTGCTCTCAAGATCCAGGTTTTGGTTTCCCCATGAGAAAATACAGACATGATAAAATATGTCTAGCCTGGGCTACATACTTATGGGCACCTGAGAATCAAGTGAGAGAAAGAGCTAAGGCAGAAGCATGAGGAGCTACCTTCTGTGTCCTAAAGCTTGCCTGCTGGTTGGCCTCTTTCAAGTGAACCTGTCAAGGGTTTGTGGCTAGCTTCCTCTCTAGTGCTTGTCTGGAGTGGGCAGCAGGCCTGGGCCTCACGGATATGTGGATAGTGGAAATACCCACCCTGATAAAGGCTGTAGTCAGCCCAAAGGCAGAGCCGACCATCCCGTACATAGAAGGCATCCACCACGATGGTCAGTAACTTCCGGTATTCAAGGCAGCCAGACAGAACCTCCAAAACAAAGGCAAGCTTCTGGGGGCTCAGATCCTGGAAAAGAATGCCAGGAGAGAGCTCTTAAGGACTAGGAAACTAAGGATAAAGGTAAGGGATAGACACTCCCACATGGCTGAATAGAGGCCAGTTAGCTCAGTTCTCCTAGAGCAGTGGGCAAAGACCACAGTGATTGGAAAGGCGGGACCCCCAGGGTGAATGAGGACAAAGTGGGTGCAAAGACAAAAACACAGAAGGACAAGCATTGTGCAAATATTCTCCTCTATGAAGATGGGCGGATCCATAGAGATAGAAAGAAGACTGTCTAGCTAGTGAAAGGGAAGGGTATGGGGAGCCAGGCATCTGGGGATAGAGTTTCAGGTCAGGAAGATTATGGAGATGGATGGAAGTGAAGGCTGCACAGTCCTGTGAGTGTGCTTTGTGTCACTTGAAAATAGTTAAAATGGTCAAAATTTTTGTCATGTGCATCTTACCACAATAACTTAAAAATGAATTCATACAAAGGCTTTTAAATGAAGAAATAAAACATTATCCGAAAGAACGCGAATGCTGCACGATCAAGAGAGATCTATGAGAGCTTGTCCAGAATAAAAAGCAGGATGGGAGTTCCTAAGTAGCAGTAAGAATTCTGTTCCTTTAGCCAGGCATGGAGGTACATGCCTTTAATCCAGGCACTTGGGGTAGAGGCAGGCTGAGTTCAAGGTCATCTGGTTTACCTAAGTTCCAGATCAGCCAGGGATATTTAGATTGACCCTGTCCTGGTGGGGGGGGGAGAGATGAGAGAAAGAGAGATTGAGAGATACATTGATAGAGATAGATAGATGGCCGTGCATTGATGGCTCATGCCTTTAATCCCAACACTCGGGAGGCAGAAGCAGGTGTATCTCTGTGAGTTCCAGGCCAGCTTGGTCTATAGAGCGAGTTCCAGGACAACCTCCAAAGCAATACAGAGAAACCAAAGAGAGAGAGAGAAAGAGAGAGAGAGAGAGAGAGAGAGAGAGAGAGATGATGATGGATGGATGGATGGATAGATAGATAGATAGACAGACACATAGACACACAGACAGACACACAGAGAGATAGATATTGATTCTGAATTTCTGAACTGTCTCCTCTGGGGAGGGAGCTGGTCAGGCAGGGTGAGGGGCAGGGTTAACCTTTCTCACTTACCCTTTCAAACAATTTGGTTTTGTGACCAGTGTCAAGACTTTCTATTACTGTGATTAAAAAAAACCAAAACTGACAAAAGCGGTTTACAGGGGTCGGTCTGGAGAGATGGCTCAGCAGTTAAGAGCACTGACTGCTCTTCCAGGGAACCTAGGTTCAAATCCCAGCACCCACATGCAACTCACAACTGTCTGTGACTCCAAGATCTGATGCTTTCACACAGACGTACCTGTAGGCAAAACACCAATGCACATAAAATAAAAGTAAACAAACTAAAAAATAGTTTAGGTGGAAAAGATTAATTTGACTCATGGTTTCAGAGGCTGTGGTCTACAGGTAGCTGGCTCCATTGCTTTCTGGCCCATAGTAGAGAGATGGCAGATCAAAAGGAAGTTGTTCATCATCTCATGGTGGCAGGAAGCAGAGGAGGCTGGGGTGGGCAAGGATATATCCTTCCAAGGTACCCTTTTAGTGACCTGCTTCCTCAAGTTCTCCCCTAGGTCCCACCAGCTCTGAATAATGCTATCATGTTATGCTTTCATTAATGAAGCTGTCCATTGACAAAGTCAGACCCTCAGGACCCAATCACTTCCCAGTTGCCCCTCTGAACCCTGCACTGGGAGCAAGACCTTCAACACAGGAGCCTGTAGGGGACAATTCAGACCCAAATGATAATATGACCCGTGTGTGACATATATTAATTATTTAAAAAAGTAATTAATGTTTTCAAATTAAGGTTTGGAAAGTAATTAAGTTTTGATGGAGAAGGAAGATGATATCTGCTGATGCCAGCACAGTGCTGAGAGACTTGGTGAGACACTTGCTGCTGAGCCTTTCCAGAAAGCAATTTGGAAAGTAGGTTTCTCGAGTTTTATTTCCATGACCCTTTAAAAGAGTTAAGTGTGCTTCTGGGAACTTAAGAAAGTCTTCCGGAACATAGAAAATGTTCATGTGCTCACATCAGGGGAAGAGGTTTGGGTAGCAGTGAAAACAGGAGCAAAGGTCCAACAGCAGGGGACCAACAGGCCAAGCATCATTGCTCCATCCTGCAGACCCGTGTGATGCAGCCACTAAAATGATGCATGCTAAGATTTACAAGGGGATGACAAAATGACACAACCCGCAGTGACACCACAGGAATCACTTTGGTGGCCATCGACTGCATCTCCCTCTGCTCTCTGCTCTTCTGCACACGCACTTCTCTAATAACTTAAAAATTGGTAACCGTTTCCCCCAGCTGGCCGCCCCTTTTAACAGGTCCTGCCTCTGTCAAAATACATTCCAGAAAGGCTGCATCAAACTTCACAGCAAACCAGCCAGTGGTGGCACATACTTTTAATCCCAGCACTTGGGAGGCAGAGGCAGAGGGATCTCTGAGTTTGAGGTTAGCCTGATCTACAGAATGAGTTCCAGGCTAGCCAGAGAAACCCCTGTCTCAAAACAACAACAACAACAACAAAACAAAAAGCCCTCTTGAGTTTCTATGGCATCTGTTTAAGAAAAAGTATCTCTTTCCCCATTTTTTTTACAGTACCAGAGACGAATATTTACAAATGCACTCTACCCAACCCGCACACACCTCTACCAATAAACACTGGTATCTCAGTGTTTTGAGTTTTTACATTACATGTAAGACATTATTTTGTGTGCATGTGCAATCGTATGTGCAGACCTGTTTGTAGGCATACGTGGCATGGCATGCCTGTGAAGATCAAAGACAGATTAGGAATTGGTTCTCTTCTTCCAACATGTATGTCCTGGGTATCAAACTCAAGTCAAGTCATCAGGGTGACACTATAAGCACCTTAACTCATCAAGTCATCTTGCCAGCCTATTTTGAGTTTTGTTTTTGTTTGTTTTGTTTTTTGAGACAGAGTTTCTCTGTGTAGCTTTGGAGTGTGTCCTGGAATTTGCTCTGTAGACCAGGCTGGACTCAAACTCAAAGATTTGCCTGCCTCTGCCTCCCAAGTGCTGGAATTAAAAGTGTGTGCCACCACCACCCAGCCTCATTTTTTTGGAGGGGGTTCGAGACAGGGTTTCTCTGTATTGTTTTGGAGGCTGTCCTGGAACTCGCTCTGTAGACCAGGCTGGCCTTGAACTCACAGAGATCCATCTGCCTCTGCCTCCCAAGTGCTGGGATTAAAGGCATGCACCAACAACGCCCAGCTTCAGTCTCATTATTTTTATGTTAAAAGAATAAAAGGTTAATATGCAGGACGCAGGACACATCCCAAGTCATGACTTGGTTTCCCTGTGAGCGTCATTTTTGGTCCTGCCCTTGCTTCCCAGCAGTGGGAGAAGCCTGTAAAAGCATTCTTGAGTCAGCTTATTAATAAACACTAGCAGGAAAAAGAGAATGTGCAAAGGGACATGCCTTGCTTCTTCTTCCCTGATACCCACAGCCACTAAGATGTGCCTGTTCTATGGATGGTGGCAGCAGTGCCAGGAGAGGTTCCCTGCAGGGATAGCCCTGGAGGAACTGGGATGCCCCTACTCCTCCAACCTTCCCAAAACTCTCAACACAAGGCTCTAGGAGGAGTCCCAGCCTGTTTCCCAGATTTGTTTTAGAATACATCTGGCTACAATATTTCTGCTGTCCACCATCGTTCCTAGCTCTGCTGCAATTCTTGGCTTCTCAACCTTCCCATACACGAATACCTTGGGCTTGTTTCTCCATTATCCACAAGTACCCCTGGTCACCTTCAGGCTGAGGATATGCTGGGCCTGAAATGTCCCCTCAATAGCCTGTACCTTTCTCTATACTCCAGAACCGTCTACCTGGCTGTCTGCTTGGCCTCCTCACTCAGAGTCCAGCATATATATGTTCACACCAAGGGCTCTGCCGTTGGCCTCCTGAGAGTGACCCCTGTTCCGAGCACTCATATGCCTGATATCCCAAGTGTCCTTTCTGTTTCTCCCCTTGCCCTCCTTCATCTATCTGCCTTCAGTCCCGATACCTAGGAGTATGGAGCTCTGTTTCCTAGATGATTCCAAATCCAGTCAGGTTGATGATGAAGGTTAACCATCATACCTCCTCTTCGAAATTCCTCACAGTTCTTGGAGTCCAAGACAATGGTGCCAGCACCTGCATGGCTTCCAGAAAGGGCTTCATGCTGCTCCAAATATGGCAGAGAAGAGGAGGGTACCAGGTATGTGTACAGAAACAAAACACAAGAGCTAGCCTTGCTTTGTAACAACCTACTCCCTTGCAAAGGCCAGAACAAGAACTCACTTGGGGAGACACATTTATTCTTGAGGGCTTCACCCCCAAAGACTGAAACATCTCTCCCTACTTCATCTTCAAACACTGTGGTTCTGCAAAATTCAGCTTCAGCATTAAGTTTGATGGAGAAACCACCTTTATACCATAGTAAAACTTTTGTATTAATATGTGCAATATATTCTCACTTACATGTACTTTTTACACATTTTTTACTTATTATTTACTAGATGTAAGCCAAGCCTCCTGGCAAGTCCCTAGAGAGAACCAAATGCTACTCTCTGCTTCAGTCCTGGGACTGGCACTGAAGAGAGTCTCTTGTTGAACACCATTTTGAGCCATGGCAAACACCAGGCATTTTAATAAATATAATGTAGAACATATTTATTGTCTAACATTTTCTGTTTCCTTCCTTCTGTCCTTTTTTTAAATTTTTGTTTTGTTTTGTTTTTCGAGACAGTGTTTCTCTGTATTGTTTTGGAGGCTGTCCTGGAACTCTCTCTATAGACCAGGCTAGCCTCAAACTCACAGAGATGCGCCTGCCTCTGCCTCCAAAGTGTTGGGATTAAAGGTGTGCACCATCAACACCCGGCCTTTTTTGATTTTTTTGAGACAGGGTTTCACTGTATAGCCTTGGCTGTCCTGGAACTCACTCAGTAGTCCAGGTTGGCCTCAACCTCATAGAGATCAGCCTTCCTCTGCCTTTCAAGTTCTGGGATTAAAGATGTGTACCACCACCACCCAGCTATTTTTTTTACTTTTATTTTATGTGTATGTGTGTTTTGCTTGTCTGTATGTCTGTACGCCATGTTCATGCATACAGTGCCTAAGGAGGCTGTAAGAGGGCATTGGATCCCCTGGAACTGAAGTCATAGACAGTTGTCATGTGGGTGTTGAGAATTGAATTCGGGTCCTCTGGAAGAGCAGCCAGTGTTCTTAACCACTGAGCTGTCTTTCTCCAGTCACCTCTCATCTAAACTCTTGTACAAGCCCCATCAACTTCTCCTTCTGGTTGCTTACCCCAGAGCTACTGGCTGCCTATGCTTTTCCTGGTAGTTCTGCCCTGCAGGGTCTTTCTATGCTCATTCCCACTTGTGCAGTCTAGGCTCTACTCTGACCTTTTTCTGCTCACAACCAACTTCCCCAAGGGCCAGCCATATAGGCTGAGTAGCCAGGTCTGAAGGTTAGGCACACAGGCCTTGTTGGGCTTCCTGTCTACTCTCTCAGTCACAAGTAAGGACCTTGTGCTCTTGGGGTCTCATCTTGGTAGGTCCCTCTGCCCAGGAAGCCCTATCCTGCTTCCAGCCATCTGCTGCTCCTCAAAGGCAGGCTCTTCTTCACTGCTTGGCCACCTAGCTTGCCTGTGGAGCCCATGTTGCCCTCTCCTTTCTTGCTAATTCAAGGTGGACTCCCTGAGTACCTAAGAATAGCCTGTTCTTGTCAGGAAAGGAGCTTCTGAGCACAGGGAAAGCCAAGGTGGTACCCAGGGACTGACCCCACCTGAGTTCACCTACAAAACTCAGCCCCAGATCAATGTGTCAGTGGCTTCATGCTTCCTCCAAAGGGTCGGTAACTGGTTACAAGTGGAGACAGAAGCCACAGGCTAGACCTCCAGAGCTGCCTGGTACCCAGGCCAGGGGACATCACAGGTTAGTGGATCCCTTTACTACTGTCCCCTCCCAGGCTACTGCAGCTGTAACCTAGTTTCATCTACTCAGAACATCCAAATAAGGACGTGTCCACATTAAGAAGAGCCTAGGGCTGCCATACACTTAGGGTATGCATTCTTCCACCACAGGCCCTGCCCTGAGGCGTCTGTCAGCCTCTGCCTAGTGGTCTAGGGGTTGTGTAATTTTCTGGCAGGTGGCATCTCTAGCCTTGACTTGACGGTCAGTATATTACAGTAAGTTTCTGACAGCTGGAGATGAAAGTGGGTTGTTCAAACTGGGTCAGTACCCAGGACTACCAATCCATCTTGGCTTCGGAGGAACTTTGGCAGAACCTGAAAGGACCAACATCTGAAGCAGAAGTTGCTTCTCTACCTGAGGTGGAGATCAGCTTCCTGGGTATGTCAACTCCATCCACTGCTGCCAGCTTGCTTAGTGGCATCAGAGTGCTAGGCTTCTCAAGGGAAGGCACACAGATGGTCATGACTCTGTGATTTTCCAAATGACAACTAGAACTCATTTACCATTAATCTATTGGTTGCTAATGGGAAAAGTGCCTCAAACTAATTATGAGAACTGAAACTCAGTTTTCTGTAATGGTTATCAAAGAGCAATGATACTGACTTCTCTCTGTCTAGCATGAAAGAAAGGGCCCTTCTTCTATCAAGTCCCTGAATGCCTTGGCAGCCCAGAGAGCATGCTGGGTGTTCCAAGTGGGTGGGGAAGAGGGGCAAAGATAGTGGGAGGAACAAATGGACTGTTCAAAAAGTACCAGGAAGACAGTATGGCTAGAGGAGCGGCTGTGAGGGTGGGTAGAGAATTGGGAGGGCACAGTGGAGCTGAGAGGCTCTGCAGGGAGGAAAACCTCTGCATCATGTCTATGCGGAGGTCAGGAAAGGGTGTCAGCGCTCTGGCAGAGAGGCAAGAGGGAGCTTTTGCAGTGAATAGGATGAGGGCTATACCAGGGCTGAAGTGTGGTGTGGGGGCGGGTGCCTACCTCACCTGGCTCAGGAAGGGACACAGTTCTTAATGATTGGGCTTGGGCTGCTGAGATGAGCTGTTTGTGGGTACTCATGGGAGCCAAGAGGACATCTGTCCTCTAGACTGTGCTACTTACACATGGATGCAAGAGTCTAGGGCCAGGGAGAGAGGTCTGCTGGGTGGAGGAACTGGACCTATTATCAGGTTGGGTGACTTCTGAGTACCCTCACAAGGAGAAGCCAGAGCCTGGGGGGGGTCAGAGGAGGGAGATGGGACTCAGAGCAGGTAGTGTCCAGAGAACCAATCAGAATGTTGCAGCCCTGGTGTATAGGATGACAACCTGGGCAGAGTCTGAAGCTGCCAATAGAAAGGGTAACAAGTCTGCTTGGGAGAGGAGTGTGCTTTGGAGATTTAACCATCCAAAATTCACTTGAAAGTGTAGCTGCCGTTGTGACAGGCTCAGGTTGAACGTTCCAGTGACATGCTCTGCCTGTCTTCCTCTCTCTCACCTTCTGCAGTGGGATACACTGCTGCTTCTATCTTGGATGACTCAGCTTCCAGAACCTTGAGAGCTACATATTGTAAAATTTTCCCAGCCTCAGGCATGCTGTAGCAATGCTCGGAGACTCAAGAGGGGCCAAGGGGAGGGGAACAAGCGCTAGGCAGAAGCACTTAGTAGGGCCCAAGGCACTTAGTAGGGCCCAGACTCTACCAAAGTCCTCATCAACTAAGCAGGATCCACCATGAGCTGTGCCCATAGACAAGGCTCTGCTTCCCTCATTGATGCTGTCCCCACCGTCGCAGCTTTTCCTATGTGGGGACTGGGGCCACCTCTCATAATGTACTATGGGAGTTGTGTAGCTCTAGGTAGGGCCAGGTCTGATGTGCATCTGCCTCTCATGGCAAAGGGGTGCCTCTGGACGGACCACCAGCCTTCTGAGAGAGTGCCTTGCCTCACACTTCTCCCCACAGGCAGGAATGGATTTCATGCTGTTTGCTGGGAAGTGAAATGCCAGGTGACACTGTCGCTGATGTGGTCTCCCAGGAACCCCAGTGGCTACCCGGATCCTACCTGCTGTAAGGAGGTAGATACTGTCTCCAGGAACTGCTCGGGATTGTCCTTCTCAGGCTTAAATTTGTCAAGCTGTTCTATTACAATCTCAATGCATTTTCCGTAGTAGGCCATCTTTTAAGCAGAGTCCTAAAACAAAACCAACACACGTCACATTATCTACAACCTCTGAGTTCCCAGTTTGGCTGTTGGCAGAAGAGGTTGCAGGATCCTTACCCACAGCAACAGGAAGTCCATGAGGGTTCTGAGTTGAACAGTAAGGATTTTGGAGGTAGGGGTTTGGGCTCAGGTAAGCCCAAACTCACTACTTGGTTAGTTCATCTCAGGCCTCAGCCGTCCAAGTGATCTGTTTGGTCTTGGTGAGCCCACTTCAGGCCACCACTTAGTCCCAGCCTCTGCCTTCTCTGACCTACACCCAGGGTTTCAAGGTAGTCACCAAAGCCCACAGCAACGCTGTGGGTGGAGTGACCCCCAGGGAGGTCTCGGGTCAGAAAGCAGGCCTCTGAACACCTCTTAGCCAGTCTGGGAAGGGTGGCAAGTTTCTCAGCAGGCTCTGCCCAGAGCAGGTGAAGAAGACAGAATCACAGGAGGCTGTGGAGTTCCCCCGGGCTGTGTCATGGGAATGGAAGCACCCATGCTCACACATAAAATAAATGGAAATAACAGAAACATTCAATTAAAATAAGAAAGCACACAACGGAGAAAGAGATCTGAGCACTAGCATGCATTCACCCCTTCGTGTTCCTAATTGTGGGTCTGATGTGACCAGCCGCTTTAGGCTCCTGCTGCCAGCACTTTCCCACATGACTGTAAGACAAAACAAACCTTTTCTCCCTGAAGCTGCTTTTGTTAGTATTCTTCTCTCCTCTTCTCCCCTCCCCCTCCTCCCCCTCCCTCCCTCCCTCCTTTCCTCCCCCTCCCTCCCTCCCCCTCCCTCCCTCCCTCTCTCCTCTCTCTCTCTCTCTCTCTCTCTCTCTCTCTCTCTCATGTGCATGCATGCACACTCTTTGTTTTTTGATTTTTGAGACAGAGTTACTCTGTATAACAGCCTTGGCCATCCTGAAACTTACTCAATAGACCAGGCTGGCCTCAAACTCAGAGATCTGCCTACCTTTGCCTCCTGAGTGCTGGGATTAAAGGGCTGTACCACCATGTCCGACTGCTTTGTTAGTATTTCATCATAGTAGCAGGAAAAGGGTCCTCAGTGTGATGGTTAGTCCTGGCTAGTCATGCCAGGCCCAGCAGCTGCTTTTTAAAAATTAGGGATCTATTTTAAGTGGTCAAAATACCAATGAATAAGAATTTAAGAAAGACCGAAGAAAGAAAACAGTAATATCTCAGAATTGAAGGCTGTGACTTTCCAAAAGGACAAGGCATCTGAGGATTCTGCAGGAGAACTCATAAAATCGGAATAGGGTACCCCAAATGCTTCCAGCAGAGGTCAGCACTCTAAGATCCAGAGGATCACCTGTCCTGCTTGACCCCTGAGCAGTCCAGAGGGAAACAGGCATAGGTCTGGGAAGGGGGCTGAACCCAAAGGAATGCGGTTGAGGAGGAGATGCAGATGGCTTCAGTCTAACAATTAGTGGGTGGCAAGAGGAGGAAGCCAGAGGAACAGAGTGGGAGTCCTCCGCTGAGTTCGGGAAAAACCTCTTGTGGTGCTCCCTGGGAAGCGTCACTGAGTAGGTGGGGGAAAGGCGGAAAGACTGTTTCACTGAGGGCCAGAGTCCCCATGCACTCTGGCTGCATTCTGGGCCCTTACAACCACAGCTGGGGCCTGACAGGGCTGCGGACACAAAGGTAGCACCAGCCTCTCTGAGAATGACCTCTTGGAGTCTGGAAATTGTTTTGAGTCTGGGACCATGAACACGCTCTAGAGACTCAATAAGGGGGCTCCATTGGCACTGAGAGGAGCCAGAGCTAGGACTCCATCCCTGCTTAGCCCATGACGACAGTCACCAGGGCAACCTTTTCTCATGCCTAGAAACTCACAGGGCCAGCTCATGATAGATTCCTCATGGGTCGATGGGGGTCTTAATGGTGAGAGGTAGGAGGAGACAGTAGTCTTCTGTCTTGGACAATACCAGATCCAATCCATCACACACAGATCTACACCTGCCAAGACGCAGTCAGGTATGGTGCTGGTATGGTGAGGGCTGATCTGCACCCTCTGAAGTCTGCCTCCCCGGAGACTGTCCACTAAGTCGCTCCACATCCACTGTTGGAGGGCTGGATGGTAGGAGGAAGGCTCTGAGGGTTCCTAGGGTCCTCTCCCTCTCTGGTCACTCAAGCTACTTCTAGTGAGCTTCCTGGTGAGGGACTTGAGTGCTAAGAGGAGGCTGAGCCACCGCTTCTGGGAACCACTGTCCACTCTGCTTCCCATTCCAGGGTGCACACTAAATGAGCAATAGATGGGCCTTGTGCCCACTGGCCATTTAACCTTCTCTCTGAATATGACTTCCTCTCTTTGGGAGGGACAGAACAAGCCAGACACTTAGCTCTGCCAACATGGGCGGATTTAAGCAATTGTCACACAAGAGGATTCTGCAGGAGGCACTTTTCTGGGCCATTGCTTCATGGAATGGGAGACCTGTAGCTTTTCCTCTGGCTTTGTTGGGGGTGCTCTGTGCTAAGTGAGGCTGGAAACCCGTGTTATCCCCAGAGGCTGGGACTAGAGCCCCTCCCTGAGGCCGTACCCTGGAGGTCTGTTCCTGTCCTGGCTCTATCCCTTGGCTGGTTAGTCCTGTAAACTGTGATGTCATTGGCCATGCAGGACCTTTGCCCTTTTTTTCTGGAACAGCTCTTGGGGGCCCTTTGTTCCACTCTGGATATCTCCTAAGTGGAAAACAATCTCAGACACTCCAGGAATCTTGGCTAAAGGCAGCTCTGTGGGTGTGGGGAGGTCCTTTCTCCGTGTGTGTGTGTGTGTGTGTGTGTGTGTGTGTGTGTGTGTGTGTGTGTGTGTGCGCGCGCGCGCACGCCAGTGCGTATGTCCAACTCCTAGTTATTAGTGTCTTGGTGACAAACAGTGGCGCTGTCAGGTAGCTCTGGAGAGAACATTAGTTCTGAATAGATATTCATCTCTACAGGTTTTAGTATGTACCTCAGTAAAACCTAGTTTTTCTCAGCCAAGTGCAACTAGTAGACAAAAGACACGTACTAGGTTCACAGCAAGAGTGAACTCTCACTGCCCATGGGCCAATAGGATCAGAAGCCATGCTGCTGGTGGCCGGGTTCAAGACTCCTCCAGTGTCAGTTGTGTTTGTGGAATCCTTTCCCCTGGCCTCACATCTGAGACAGGGGGTGTGTCAGGTGAAGCCTTAAATCCATTCACTTGGTCTCCCAGCCTGACCCTCCCAGTGCACCAAAACTGAGCTCATGCTCCTGAGAGTGCTGGGTGGGGTGGACAGCAATGGGCTGGAGGCCTTTGGCCCTGGCTGCTGTGGGGAGAGTGGAGAGGTGAGGTTGCTGTGAGATCCAGAGGGGTCTCCTCAGCATGTCACAAGCCCTTCACAGTTGACAGTCACAGTCTAGGACTCCTCCTCCTTCACTCGGTTTTCCCGTAAGTTAGGTGATCTCTCTACATCCGAGTTACACGCCGACACACTGAGGCCTGCCTTCTTTGCCTCAGATTCCTTTCTGGAAACCTTCTCTGATAGTAACTAAATGTTCATTAAGCCTTGGTGAGTGTGGTGAGCAGGGCCAAGTCTCTCACCTGAACCTGGCCTAGGCTTAAAGTGATCTATGAACAAAGAATGCAAAAATATAAAAAGGTATTAGTACACTAAAACAGGCTTCTCGTCTAATCTGAAAGACACAGGTGGCCAGATTAAAACCAACTGAAAGATCACACTAATTGAACCTAGGGCCTCCATCATGAGAGGCTTCTGTCACTGAGCTTCATCCAGAGAGATACAGGCTCCACAGCAGGGCATCAGGAAAGCCCCCATTGACTTTTCTAAACAGAATGCCTTTTATTTTTTCAGTTTCACACGTGTAGACAATGTGTTTTGAACATATCCATTCCCACACAGTGACTTTCTAAGTCATCTGCTTTTCTAAACCTTTATTTACATGGGTCCTTTATGCAATAAACTTCAGTTTTATTGTCTCATTTAATTGGGGGATAGATGGTGTGATGGTATTTTCTAAAGAAATAAGAACAAAACCAACAATGAGAAGTTTGGAGTGGGGAATCTGGTTCCCTAACCCCAAAGACATTTTCTTTCTGTGTGAGTCTGATGCCTGGTGAAGACGTGAAATAAAGTAGAACAGCGCACACACAGCCCAGCCTCAGCAAAGAATACAGGCAGAAGAGTTCACAAATACTTGGTGTTGCTGGGTGGTGGTGGCACACATCTCTAATCCCAGCACTCAGGAGGCAGAGGCAGGTGGATCTCTGTGAGTTCGAAGCCAGCCTGGTCAACAGAGCCAGTCCCAGGACAGCTAAGGCTGTTACACAGAGAAACCCTCTCTCAACAAACAAACAAACAAAAAAACCAAAAGACAAACTCGATGTTAAAAGTTCTAGTGGTGGGGGCTCAACCTAAAACACACCATACCTTGAATCCCACCCTCAGCACTGAGGAAAACAAAACACAAAACAAATTCCCTGGAAACAATGCCGAAGAATAAGCTTTCTTTCTCTCACGTGTTCAAGGTGCAGTCCTTGCGGGCAGAGTGAAGGCATCAGGAATTTGACAAACCGCCACACTGCATGCACAATTAGGAAATCAGAGGGGTGGGTGCCTCCTATTGCTCAGCTCTTCTCGGTTTTATTAGTCCAGGATTCTCTGCCCATGGAATGGTCCTGCCCACAGTTAAGATGGGTGGCTCTTTCCACATTTGTTAAGGTAATCAAGATTACACACTCACCTACCCACCCACCCAGGCAGACATGTCCAGAGATCTCTCAGGTGGTCTAGATCCTGTCAACAACACTATCGTTAGGTACTCTGATTTTCCTTTTTTGCTAAGTTTCCAATCTGAGGGCTGAGGTCTGGGCTGAACTTACATGAATGGGCTGCCCAGTGGTGCCAGGGAGCATGGACTACTTCCTGCTCCCCCACTGTGGAGCCTTTATCTCTGCACAAAGGGTAGATCAAATGCCTTTGACTGACCAGAGTCAGGGAGCATGGACTGAATTGAGCCAAACTCTCCCAAATCCTGAGTGGACCTTGGTAGAAGGACACAGAAGGAATGAGTGAAAGAGCCAGACTGGAGGTGGGGAGGGAGCTCTTGGGAGCCCAGCCTGCCTCTAACTATCCAGCCTGAAGCCTCTGCTCACTGAGGAGTGGAGGCTGCCTTGCAGGGCTCTGCACACCCACCTGTGGCAAAGAGCAGATGTCTTGTGAGCTCAGGTGAGTATGAGGGAAAGGATTTGTGGACTCTGAATTCCCTCTGAAATTCACCTAAAGCTTGGGCAAAACAATCACATCTGTGGGTAGGAAATAGGCACAGGCTGGGCCAACTCTAAGCACCTCAGCTTTATTTGTATCTGATTCATTTTTAGCTTTATTTTTCTTCTTTATTTTTGTGTTGGGAAAGGTGGTGTCTTGATATGTAGCAGAGCAAAGTTTGTTTGTGTACTCTGAGTGCCAAGGATGGAACCAGCTTATGCACTAGGTGGTTAGTTGGCTGCTAGGCCACATGCCCAGTGTCTCAGCATTTAGTTTACAGAGAATTGAGATTTAGTTCCTAAGAGGATTGACTTCCTGTATATGTGGCCCTTTAACTCTCATCTCTCATCAGGGCTCAGGTCTGTCACATGAGGAGACCTGAAACTCAGGCTGAAGCAAAGCGAAGTGAAGTAAATGAGGAGGCTTCATTTCTATCAGGTAAAAACGAGTTCAACAGCCTCAGCCATGAGACCCCAAATGTATGATAAAGAAATTAGGCTTTTTCCCCCCTCAGGACTAAAGCCACTCTAAGTGTGGTTACTAAATCATTCTCTGTGGCTTTCTTTTTCCTCCTGAGCAACAAAGCCTGACTCTTCCTTGGGCTTATTGCTTTCCAACTAGATGATGACATTTCCCAGACTCCCTGGAAGCTGGCTATGGCCATGTGTACAAGTTCTTCTATCTCTAGGAAATATTAGAGAATAAACTTTGGGAGTGTTGGACAGAGTGGAAGGAAGTACAGTCCTTTCTTCTTTTTCCCCCCACGTGTGTGGGTCCAGGAGGTGATGGCAAGAACCAGTACAGTCATCCTGAATCCTGAGGAAACAGGTTAAGGATGGTAGCCAGAAAAGCTGCTCTCTGTTGTACCAGAGAATACAATTGTGTACATGTTGACTCTAAGGTGGTGTTAGTTGTACCAATAGTGAAGAACAGGCAAACAGCTCTGAATGCCAGCATTTAGGCTGGAGTTAAAAAAAAAAGGGGGGGGGTGTTTATAAGACCATGTGACTGCCTGGAATCACCCAGGAATGGGTAGAAGAGAAGCTTACAAGGCTGAGCAGGTCCAGAGCTGACTGCCTGAGTGAAGATGCAGGAGCTGCTGGGTCAGAGGAGTGTGTATACTCTGATTGCATCAGTCAAGAGGCAGTCAGCTGGGTCACCTGCTGCTAACAGTAAGAGAGAGATAAGAGCTGAGACCCACCACTGGATTTAGCAGCTCCGAGATCATGGAGGACTTTGGTAAACTGCTTCAAAGGAGTGGCTGGGAGTGCGTTCAAGAAAGAACTGGAGACAGGAGGCACCTCCAGAGGGTTTGCTTTTTAGGGCAGGAGAGGTTGGGTGGCAGGTAGAGGGAAGCAGGGAAAATCAATCAGAAACCATAGCACAAGGGGAATACTTCTTCCAGGGCTGGAGGGGTGAACTCCCGTTGAATTTAATGAAATAAAGAGTCCAGGGAGGGACAGGAATTATGTGCTGGGTCAGGAGTAAGTCCCACTCATTTCATCCTCTCATTTCAGACCAGCGTGAGAGGTGGCTCAGGGTTGGGGTGAGGGTAAAGAAAAAATTGTTGGCAGGGATCTACTGCCTATGGCTAATGCTCTTTGGCTGTGCATGGGAGCTTTAGGAGGGGATCACATATTCTCAGCTGGACTCTTGGCACATGATAAATTTTCAGATTTTTAGCTAGGTTTGTGTTTGTATTTTTACAGATTCCAATTAAGGCATTGCTAGGGAGGTAGTGTGTCATAGGAAAAGTTATCTTTAAAAAAAAACCACCAAAACTACTGGTTTTTTTTTTTTGTGGGAATTAAAGTTGAGGTGGTGGAAAGCACACTTCCTTTAATCTGGGAGGTTGGAAGATGAGCGCAAAGGTAGCCTGCTAAGGCCAGAAAATAGTAAGCAAAGATTTGAGAACTGGAGAAAAGGAGTGAGAATGAGGACGGGCTGCTGGCTCCCCACAGAGGCCTTTCACCCTCACCTACCTGCGGGCCGCCGGGCCTCCACAGGCCTCCACCTGCCCCTGCGTGGTCCCTTCAGGCGCCGCGGGCCGGAGCCCTCACCTGCCAGCGCCCGCACCCGCAGCTCGCCTAGGCATCGTTTAGGCGCCGTCACCTAGCAACGCCACGCAGGCCTTGCTCGCGGTGGGCGCCGGGACCTGTAGTTCGAAGCCTCCCTCCCTGGATGCGCGTCCCGAGCAGGGTGCGGCGTGGCGCTGGGCGCGGATTGGCGGCCTCACCGGGTCCGCCCCACCCTCCACTCGCGGCGGGCCGGGGGTTAGCGGCGCCATCGGCGCATGTGCGGCCGTGACCGGCGGAGGCGCGAGGTGCCCCCAATCCGTAAGGCGCCGCGCGCGCAGGGCCCGCGCCTTTCCGCGCGCCCGCGCGCCCGCGGGTTTGGGTCGGCCGCGCGCCGCTCGCTGAGCATCCTTCCGGCCGGCCGCGCACCTGCCCGGCGCACCTGCCTCCAGCTGCTCGGCGCTCGGCTCGGCGCTCACGATCCGCTAGCTCTGACCGGTCCCGGCCCTGCGTGCGTGTCCTCCCCGTGCCGCAGCCGGGCCCGAGCTCTGCGCTGCGGAGGGCGAGGGCAGCCCGGAGCGCGGCCCGGGCCGGCGCGGCGATGATGAACAGGTTCCGAAAGTGGCTGTACAAACCCAAGGTGAGTGGCTCCAGTTGCGGTCCATTCCCCGGCGTCGCGCCTTTTCCCCTTTAGTTCTCTGCCCCTGCAGGTCTCTCCTTGGTGAGACAGACCTCGTTTCCCTGGCCCTGTGTGAGTCCCCCTCTCCAGTTCCTGCGATGCCTCTTCCCTGCATTCTGCGACTTGGACAGACCGTGTACCCGGCGCGCACTGACTGCTCTTTTCCTAAACCCAGTACCAGACGGGGCTCTTTCTTTCTGGCGTGGGTGTATTATAATGTCCCCTCTTCCTTCTCGTGTCGGTACTGGATGGGCACCAGCTCCCACTCAGTGGTCCCAGCCTGCGTGCTCAGAGCCCCTACTTCTCTTGGTTCTCTCTTGCCGCACCGCAGATGCCCCTTCATCTTCCCGCACCACAATTATTCTGGCCTAGGATAGTGGGCCTCCCACCTTCCCTTCGCACTTGTGAACCGACCTTTCCTCACGCCCCTTTCTCCAATCCCTAGTCTTTGGTCAGACCCTTCCTTCCTGTGTCTTTAGAGGGCCCTCACGCCGCGGTTCGGTCCTCCCAAACCGGACTGATACAACCTCCGTCCACTTCGCATCCCTATCCTGGTACACTAGCCGCCCGCATCCTTTTGGATTTCGGGCCAGTACTCCGCCCGGTGGCGGGGTGAGGCTCCTGGAGCCTGCAGCCAGAGGTGCGATTCGCCAGTGGGCGCCTCTCTTGGCTCCACCGGATCGGGTCCCGGCGGCGCGCCCCGCGCCTCGGCAGCTGCACCAGTCGCACTGCGGGCTCGCGGCCGGAGCAAAACCCGGTGCGCTCTGCTTGAGGCCGGGCGGTGCAAAAGCTGGGATCCAGCAAATGTCCAGGACGCACCCGCAGCGTCCAAAGCTGCGTGTTGGGGCCCGCAGAGCCAGAGGACGTCAACGCTGGAGGTCTTCAGGGGGTCACGACCTGGGTGGGGTCACTGCAAAGACCAAGGGCGGGAGCAATGCAGCGGCTGCGTGCTGGTGTCTCCGAAGTCAGAGGCGTCCTTCTCATTGGCCCACCCAAAGAACTGACCCTTCTTCCACCATGACTAGCCACTTTTCTTGGTTTAGGGTCCCTGTCCCAGACTTCGTGAATGATCTCTTGGGGTGGGGTTTCCTTAAAATCATGTCTGCTGACGCGGGTGTTCTGGAGAGACATTCTATTTGGAAGACTGGCACTCGAGGTTTGGGGGACGTTCAGGGACCTCAAAAGATCATGTTTTTTGGCCGCTGAGGTCGGGAAGTTTTTTCCTTGGGTTGGAGAATGTTGGGGTGAAGCTTATAAAGCGTGGGACTGCCCTTTGTCAGCCTTGGCCCGGCTGGAAGGTATTCTGGATTCTTGCAGGGAGGTACAGCAGTTCGTGCTCTTTCTTCCTTGTTGTGGGGCAGATATATCCAGGGGAAGGGGGCTCTTTCGACTCAGGCGATGGGTGTGGTTTAGGCCTGCTTGCCCTTAGCCACGCCCTAGACATCTAGCCCTCTCTTTGCTGCAATCCCTTCAATGTGCTCAGTTTCGCCTGCTATCGCTTTGTGGGTCTGCCAGGGGCTGCAGCAGCTCCTGCACTAAATATCTGTACAAGGAGTTTTTTTTTTTAATTTCTCTTTGAGTGACTTTTTAGCACAAGAAAAACAAAACTAACCAGCAACAACAGAACAAGTTCAGTGATGAAAAGTCATCTCGGGGAGGGATTTGCTTTCTCAATAGCATGCAGGGGAACAGATGGAACTGTCTGCATGCTAAGCTACATTCTTGTCTCTGGGAATGTTTGTGGGGGCGCTGGGGGTGCTCGTGTGCCATTCCCAGCAGTGCCACAGTAGGAAAGGTGTGTTCTGTGACCTCCACCTAAGCGGCAGCAGGCTGCATGCCCACTGATTATCATCCGTAGCTGAGTTCACAGTGGCCTCCCCTTGAGATTCGAGTCCCAAAGTTAAGGATCACACCCATGAATTTCCCTATATTCGCAGGCAACTGCTTTCAGGTGCAGACCACAGCAGGTGGAGAGTTGAGTTAGTAACCTCGAGTGATTCAACCCAAAACTGTGTGCTGTGTAGAAGGGGGAGAGATAGGTCAGATTTCCCCCACTGCGGTCCCGTCCCGTTCTTCACTGTCATCTCTTAGAGCTGTTTGATACTGCCCTTGACCTCTGTGCGAGCCATATCTCTGTCTCAGATCTCTGCCCTGGCCATGTCTGTCTCTGGAGCTGGTACCCTGTGGTCAGTCTAACCGTGACCCATGTCTTGTTCCAGATCTGTCACTGGACTTCAGTGTCTTGATTGTATGAAGCATTGGGTTGTATTATGTCATCCTTGGAGTTTTTATTTTCCAAACCAAAGCTCAGATTTTAGCCTCCATTTATGAACTGAATTTTGTGTCTCCTTCCTGCGTAATTGAACATATTTTGGCACAAGTGAGCACAGAGTTGGCCCTCAGAAGATTCTGGGTCTCCAACAGTTAAGTACTAGTAGTGGGGGACGTCTGGAGGAGATTGTTGCTGACATAATTCCCTTTTCACTTTCCTATTTAGACTCATTTAAGCCACATTTAAATGTAATTCCTGCTTTGGTTTAAAACTGAACACACAGACCTTCATTACATGTGGTGGAAATATTTTGAAAAATGTTGTTATTCCTACAGTTCAAAAGAGCAATGCTTAGAATATTTTTTTACATGACACAAGTTTTGGTTTCTGAAGCACTAAAAGCTACTTAAGTTGGATGAAAACCATATCCCGTGAATAGCACAATAGTTGATGTTAAAATGACATTTTCAAAGCATGTTATTTCTATTGATTTTCTTAAAGCCAGTCTTGAACAGTCCCCCCCCCACCCCCCCCACATCAAGCTCAAGGTATTTTGGCTCTGGAGGCTGTGAGGAAAAGGCAGGAGGTAGTAAGAGTTCAGATGCTGTGATGTTCATGTTCTGGTTTTCTTCAGAGCACAGCAAAGGCTTTCTCAGAAGAATATATGCTTCAGAAAGGTGAGGCGTTTGGTGCCCTCCTTGGAAACAAAGGTCTCAGCTTGTTTTTTTGCTTGGCTATAACTCCGACTGACCTGGGTGGATATTGCTGCTTACCAGGAGGAAGTTGGCATAAGATGACCGGGATCCTAGGCCAGGACTCTGGCGAAGCTGGCATTTCTTGGCTGTCATGGGCAAACTTATTGATGTGCCTTGGAGAATGCATTTGTATTTTCCATCTTTGAGGAGGAGCTGATTGGCAGGTGGATGGTGCTTGTCAGGTTGTGGGGATGGTGGATGTGGTGTCCAGTTTCCATACTCAGCCATGTACCCGCAAAAGGCCTTCTTGTCTGGTCTCTGAACTGCTACCAGGGGAGGGGCCATTGGCCTGCATGCCTTTTGTTGTGGGGTTTCCTGACAGTTCTTCACTGAAATACTGTTTGCAAACATTTAGGGTTCAGGTTACAGATGAGATGGGCCTCACCAAGGGAAGCCAGTGAGACTTTCTGGGTGTGTTCTTTTTTTAACAAACTGTTTTTGTTCTTTAATTGCATGTATGCATGTATGTATGTATTTTGTATGCAGGGGTCTGTGCATGCCGTGATGCACATGTGGAGGTCAAAGGACAGTTTTCAGGACTTGGTTCTCTCCTTCCTCTGTGCAGAAATAGACATACAGAGATAGAATTCAGTCTTCAGGCTTAGTGGCAAACACCTTTACTGGCTGATCCATCTTGCCAGTCCTTCCTTTAAATTAGTTAATTAATTAACTGTGTGTGTGTGTGTGTGTGTGTGTGTGTGTGTGTGTGTGTGTGTGTGTGTGTTTAGGTCAGAGGTTGAACTTGAGAATCTTTTTTGATTGCTTTCTGCCCTATTTTTTGAGACCAGGTTTCTCATTGAATCTGGAGCTCAGTGTTCTGACTAGATTTTTCTGTGCAGGGAGCCCTGAGAATCTCCCAGCACTGTGGTTATAGGCGTTCATTGCTGCACCTGACTTAAGTAGGAGCTGGGAAACCAAACTCTGGACTTCATAGTTGCACAGCAAGCACTTTACCCATTGCCATAGCTTATAGCCTCAGTTGGCCTGGGCCCAGAAACATAGTTAGGGGCCTTTCAAGTTCTCAAACGGTAGCCCACCCTGCACAAACCATCCTACTGGCTGTCGATCACCAGCTAGCCTCCTCCCCACACGCTCCTTGACTAGTGGCCAAGGGTGTGTGGTACCTGGAAGTGCGGTAGGGGTAGGGGCAAATCTAGGGATCCTGCAGGAGGGCAGTGGCTCCTGTTCCCTGCCTCCATCCCCCACTCCTCCCAGAGCCTTCCTTCAGCGTCAGCACTCTCAGGCTGTGGCTAGGCAGGACTTCTTAGGTCTCCATGCAGAGCGCTCAGCAGGAAGCTCGTCTCCCTTCCAGGCTTTCCTGTGGTTTCTGTAGGGCGAGTGTGGGCCCTCACAGCTCCTGTGAATCTTCAGGGCCAGGGAGAGGCAATGCTGCAGGCAGGGCCAGCGCTGCTTTCTGTGGGACTTTGCCGTTGCTCAGGCTCCATTCCCAATCAGAGCAGCAGGCTTACT